AGGTAAAAGGACTAAGATAAGTCCTTATACCCCTATCAAATTGGGGAAAGTAGATGAAACTTTGGGAGTGATTATCAGTGAGTTGGTGTCCACAGTGAGATGAAGGAGAGGTATTAGGAAGAGTTCTTTGCTGTGGAAGGTCTACCATGTCTAAGCTTTTCCCATAAGGAAAGATGCATCTCTCATTTTGAAGTCCTGGAGAATCCAGCCTGCCTTGAATTTCTATGATGTCTGAGGGATAGTGGCAACACAGGATGGAAGCTGAATAACTTACTCCAGATTTTTAGGTGGCTGAGGTTGAGTGAGATGCACCACAGGGGATGCAAGTGCTATAGAAGCTGACTAGGTTGTTTTAACATTCAGTGGTGGAAAAGCAGAGTAAGACTTTTGTGATAACAAATACAGAAAAAACCTGGAACATATATTATTTTAGACATTATAAGCTTTGAGCTTATAAATTATAAGCTTTATAATTTTTATTAAATAATTGTAAAATAATTGTGAGAATACTTTAAATTCATAAGTCATATAAGTAAATTGTCATTTGCAACTACTGAAAATGGTTCGTCAGATAACACTGAAATGTGGACATATTGAATTAAACTGTTGAAAGTCTAGAAAGAGACATTTAAGGATAACTTCTTTTATCAACTTTTATATCTGTTGGACATCTTATCTTGATTTGCCAAAGTGTTTGTAGATATGCAATAAATAATAAATTAGAAACTAGATTTTTGTCTTATGAAAATGCTTTAATAATAATATTGGAACTACCTTTGGCATACTGTTTAAATTAATGTGTGAATTTCAGAAACAATACTAGTGTGGCTGGTCAGAGTCTGAGAAACAGAATGAGCTGTCATGTAATTAAACAGTTGGGTAGTCTAATAACAATTTAGGTTCATGGTCAACATTTTATATTTTCTATTGTATTGTACAAGTTTTGTTAATATTTGATTTTTTTTTCCATTTCTGGAATGAATGTTGCTGTCATTTCATAGCTATCTTACTAGCTAGATTATCCTTGTCCTATTTAATTGCCTACTGGATAAGTGCCCAGTATAATAGTAGATTTTTATTTTTTGAGTACTATTTCTAGAGTGGATGATCTTTATTTTTGTCAATGCATTTTATTCATTTTCTATTTTTCTTTCTCCAGGGTCATCAAATTTTTGCTTATCTGTCAGGTGTCCTAGGTCCAATTTACCAAATCAGTATATAAAAAATTCTTTTTCCAGCTCCCAAGCTACTAAAAATGTGTCAAAGATGTCCTTTTTAAAGTCTTTTCAGAGGACATTCTAATGATGGAGAATGACTTACTTACAACAATGTCAGAAGCAATGCTTCATATATAATTATACATATATATTTATATATTTATTTATATATATATATTTCTATAGGTAAGTCTGAATCCTTTTAAGCTTTAATGTAATAACTTTTGTAGTATCCATTTTGCCAGATATATGTATGCAGACTTTATTCTCTCCACAAACCAAATCTATTTGAACCCCCATATATGTAGTGGTACTTAAATTGTAAATTTAATATTATGAAAGTATTATCTTAATAATAATTAAAATGAATGGGAAATTAAGAGCCTTTGATATCATGTTCCAGCTTCTGCTATTTGAAAATTTTTTGAAACACTGATGTTTTCTAATTGTATTTATTAATTTTTGCTCTTAATGCCATATATCTAACTGCTTTTGCTGACACACATCTTGTTGAGTCCTATACATATTTCTGACTAATGCTATTTTCTGTTTGCTATGGGTAAGGTGTTTCATACTGATGTAAGCAATCTCTCTTGTATGCGTATTTTATCCTTCTGTACATTATTAAAGGTTACTGTTCCTTGAACTCCATGTATGAGAGAGAAGGGTGGTACAGGATCATGTATGAAGAAGTTGTCTTTTCCCAAACAAATACAAATAAATACAAAACCAAAATATTATTTTCAAATGTGTCAACATTTTTTAAAATAAACTATAATTCTATTTTTCATTATTAGACATAGGTTTACCAGTTTTCTAGTAGAAAAATTTCACTGACTTTACTAGTAGGTACTGTTTTTTTCGTATAAATTCTATTCTATTAATTCATAATCTGGATCAAAGGTGAAATGCTTTCTTTTCCAGAATGTAAAATCACATAAACTTCTTCAACTTCTGCTCCGTAGAGAGCATATATTAGAGCTGACTTTAAAGCATAAAATGCACACTGTCTTTTCAAACAAAATTTACCCTCATCTGACAGGGTGACCCCTTATAATTAAGAATGAGTGTTAACCAGATTTCCAATGCAGATTTTTAAAACAAAGCTAGGAGTGTAATGACAATACCTGTGAGAAAAAATGCGGTAAGAAAATTACGTGAATTGAAGACTAAGACTATCCTCAGTAATATGCAGAATTTCTTTGCAGTGTTATGATAATAAAAAACCTGCATTGGGATGTATAAAGTCGAAACCAAATGGAAGCTTTTTATTTTTACTTAATTGATAAACAAAATCTATTTTTCCTGGCACAGCTATTAGTCTGAAGCTGCAATATGTTATCAAGTGATGTGTATATTTTTTTAAACTTTAGACATCTGAATGGTAAGCATTTATTATATATGCATAGTCTTAATTTCCTCGGCTTTTATATAATAAAACAAAACCCACAACACTATGAATCCATATGAGTGAGACTGAAACAGAAAGCCAATCTTTTAAGTCTGGTATTTCACCAGTTCTTAAACTCTCTCTTTCCAGGTTATAGAAAAACACATCTGTAGGAATATCTCTTCAAAGTATTCATATAAAAAAGCAGTGTGTGTGATCATACTTCCTTTCATCAGCAAATAAGTCTTCCTTATATTTCCTTGGCCAGGTCATGAACAACTGAATATTTATTTATCATCTGTCGCCGTACTTGCACTCTCCAGTTCAGCCAATAACATAGTGAATTCTAGCTAGTAATCACATGTTGAAAGATCAAGATAATGAAAGAATCTATTTGGAAAACCTTGCCACAATTTAATAGATTTCATCATCAAAACCTCCAAATTATAACTTATCCTTTATTAATTAAATGTTACTCATGATTGTGATCTGTTATATGATTTTTTTTTCTTAGAATATTTACTTCCTTCAAATAAGAAGACAATTCTGAAAAACCTTTTTTTACACATTGTTCAGAAAACTTAAAGGAAGTGTGAAGTTCCTAGGTAAGTTCAGAGGTTCTTTTCTCAAATGTGAAAATAAATTGACAAAGTTGTCCTAGATTTAATACCAGGAATCTAACAAGGTGTGGTCCAGTAACAGCTAGGAATAAATTCTTGTTTCGGAGCAAAACATGCCCTTTCTCTGTTATGTAAACATGATCTAAATCTTTTTCAGGTGAAGATCATTTAAGATCCATTGTTGTCCATTATTCTTTTTCACATTGAAATTACTGACAATGGCCTACACGGGTTACAAAAACTATGTGAGTGGTATGCACTACTTACAAATATTTATTGTTGAAATACCTCACAGTAAAGAGAGAAAATTATAAACACAATGGTTTAGTGTTGAAGGCTATTTTCCCACATAAATGGACAAAATCTCTGGATTGAGAAAGGATCAGACACAGTTATCCTTTTTGTACTAAATACAACCTGAAAGCACAAAGAATTCTCTTAAAGCCAGTGGGACCATCTGTGGAATAAGGATTTGTTTAGGCTATAACCCATATAAATCTATGACCTAATCCTAAACATGTAGTTCCACTATTGTCAACAACCAGTGTTGTATAGCTGTTCTCTCTTTCTCTAGTCCTCTCCATGGAGGAAATTATTAATATGTAAAATACCTTCTCAAATAATTTTGCCACATCTGTTTGAAAACCATTGCCATAAAAGTTTAGAGCCATTAACACAATGTTTTTATTGTGCATCTTTTAAAGCTCATTTGTAGCTGCTCATTCGCACTGGCAACCTACCACGAGACTGAAAAGAGTCTTTTTTTCTCTCATGAAGCAAGTGTTGCTTCATCTGCACTTGCTCAGATGGCCACCCTGCCCCCTCATCCCCCTACCCATAATTTTCCAGCTATGAATATAATGAAAAATATTTTTGCCCTTACCTGACCTCATACTGAAAATTTCTCATGATTTTCAAACACCTCCCTGTTTTATTTTTAGGTACCAGGAATTTAAACTCTGCACTGGCACTTTTCCACTCAGCATACATACCTTGGTTTTCTTCAGTGAAGATCTGTAAATCGTAGGAAACATTGTAGAATTTGTCTGTTGGTGCTGGTTTATTTGTTTGTTTCTTCTTTGCATTAGCTTTCCTGACTCTGTAATTCAGTTACACTCACCTAAAATCTTGCTTATAAAAAGAAGATAAAAAAGGAAAACAGAGAGAAATATTTTGCATAATTTGGTTTATCATGATGCCAGCTTTTAGGTGATTGAATCAGTTGATTGCAGGATATAATTTCTGCAAAATGAGTATTCAATGAAAGAGAGGTGAGCAAAATACAGATGGGTTGTTTTTTCCAGACAGAAAATTTTGAAAACGTTTGATGATCTCAGTTTCAAAATTGCTGCTGGGTAGTGGTATAAGTCAAGAAATATTCTGAGATAGTTTTATATTTGTTATGGAATGGTTGGGAACAAATACAGTGTGAAATTAATTTTGAAATCTTACTTGAGTCTTACAGAATGATTCGGGATCATTTTCAAAGTGGATTAACATTTAAAGCATTTTATTATCTTATTATCTAATGTCATACATAAAGTTTTATAACCAACAGTTTAGCATTTTAAAGAGTCTTAATATTGTTATAATAAAAGTGACTACTGCAGCTAATTTTATATTCCATAATAAAAAAATAAATCTGTGCTGGTAAATCAGTCATCCTTTAAACTGTTAATAAAAGGAAAAATGTCTGTATTTGGACAGCATTTTATTCTAAGTGCAGTAATATATAATGTGGTCGATTGCAGTATTTAAGTTAAATATTGATTCTTTTTCCTATCTTATTTGCCAAATTAAATATTGGTTTACACATTTTCCAATAGTTTCATTAAAAACTAAAATGGCAGCAAATACTTGCTGATGTTGTAATGGGTTTTTATTTTTATACTGATAGGAAAAGACATTTGTTTTAGTTTTATCATCCTAAGAACAATAAATAGGTGATTTTGTGAGCACTTCTGACAACAATATTAGAATATCTAGGGTCTACTTTTTCACACAATTATATTTATATAATGAAGCATTATACAAATATGCGTGTTTAACTTTGGTTAATGTATGTATTCAACTGCAACAGCAAGTCTGTCAACTTTGGAAACCATTTAAAGCTTATGGATGACAGTATGTTTGCAACATCCATTTATGGCTTCTACTCCTCCTTTTGTACAAGCAAGATCCAGATTTTCAGTATCCAGAAGAGGCTCTAGATATCCAAAGCAGCATAGTTTGTATTAAGCACTAAGATAACCATAAGATTTGCAAACTATAACCTCCATCCCTTCATGTGGCAAAATCCCTTGTATGTTTTATCCTGTCAAGAGGTTTCCACATCCAAAACTTTCCATATTAAAACCCTTGGGCTCTTATTTCTCATATTTTAATGTGTGATGATCTCTTTTTGAAAAATCTGCAGTTGTATTTGGTTGCTGAGACTTAGGAAAACAAAAGAACAATTCAAAGAGTGCTTAATCCCCCACAGTTGTGTGGGAAGAGTACATGCCTGCAAGCTGTTTAAAGTGAGGTCCCCAGTCTGCAAGGTGCTCATAGCTCTGATCCATGTCTGAAGAGGTTGAACCCAAGGAGCTGAGGGATCCCGCCAAGGAGCCAGTCCCCTCAAACGCATAGGTCTGAAGTGAGTCATAGGGAGGAACGCTAGGATCTGTATTTGCTTCTTCGAGCTTTTCTGAAATGAATTGCCTGAAGATTGCACTGTCTGGGCCAACCTGCAGAGACTGTCTGTAGAGGCTCTGGATTTCAGAGGCCACCTTCTTCCGAGGCCTGTGCGTTCTCACGGCAGTGCGTGTCCTCAGTGCTGAAATGTCAAAGGCTTCCGTGTCCTCCTCGCCCCCGCCTTCGTCATCGTAACTGACAATGTTCTCTCTGAATTCTTCCATCTTCTCTGAAAAGGGAGGCTTCTTCTTCTGCTGCTGCCTTATGGTGACAATTGCCAAAAAGAACACTGACAAAATAAAAATAAAAGAGAAGGGACAAGTTGAAAAATTAAACTTCACTACAGACTTTAAATGTGCTTGGAAAGATTAAAAAAATCACTTTTTATCTTAGTATCAATGCTGTTTCAAAGTGAAGCTATCTTAACAAATTTATAGAGCTGTAATTTTTATGGACCCTATGGTTTTGAGATGAGCAATGGGGGTATTGGGAAAATGGCTACAAAGGGACTTATAAAAAAAGTCAAAATAAATGGAGCAGTTCTTTTGGTAGATGCAAATTTGAAACTGATGGAAACACAGGTTATGATTTTTGAAAGTGCTTTTTTTATCACATAATATATCCATTTCACATTCAGAATTTAAATTCCTAATCTTTATCACTCTTTTTGATAAAAGCCTCATCAAGTTCAAATGAAAAATGGGACAATGAGCAAGATATCCTCCTCACCTGGTTGAAAGATTCAGTTCCATAGACTGTGCAGAATGGCGTTCAACTATTTCTGTTGTACTGGTTTGCAAGTTTGAAGCCTCACTAAATTCTGTGTCATTTTAGTGTCAAGGTCTAAGAATCACATGACATTTATTTCATATGCGGAAAGTTTCTTAATTTTTTTTTAAGCATTATTTTTTAATCTCCCATATTTCATTTTAACTGAACAATCCCTTTGAATTGGTCTATGACTTTCAGAGAGATTAATTCTTTCAGTTGCTACTATATCTTGCTGCAGTTCTACTTAATAAGTATTTTGTGGGCAGTAGTTTCTACTCAGGACATAAAATGATACACCTACAAAGAATTACAGCATTTTACTCAATTTAAGAATATGAAGAATCTGAAGTAGTTCTTTTTTTCTACCTATTTTAAATAAACAATTCTATTTGTTTGGGAGATACCAACACAAAATTTGAAAGAACTGAAAACAAGAATTTCTAATATGTATTCACAAAACAGATGGTTTTAACTTTCCAATTCTTTGCCTGATGAACTCTTCTGATGGTATATTTCCTACTTGAAAATTAGTTTTCAGAGATAAATGGAAAACTTATTATATAAGGAACATTTTATTATTTAATTTTAAATCATTACAAATATACAGTTAAAAATTAAGGAATTTAAAACATGTGTTTGTAAAGAGTGTAGTAGATTCGGTTTTTTTCTTCTTTTGGACTCATATATTTATCTATATCCCTGCTTTGGCTTTTGTGATATGAATAGGCCGAATAGAGGTCATGGGTTTTTTCCACCTGTAGAGGGAATCTTTCTGCAAGAACTCAAGAAAACATTGATGAATAATTCCCCCGATAGCCTGGACAGTGATACAGTTTGCCTGATCCTTAGTCCCTGAAGTCAATAACACAAAGTGGACCTATTCAGATACTCTGCAACCATCAAACAAAATTTGAAGTGCACACTGACCTCTAAGCTTAAACTGAATAAAAGACATAAGGCAGATATTGAAGCTCAGATTTAAATAAGACAATTCTGGAAATGCAGGCAAGCCTAGAAAAAACAAATTCATTGTATATTCCCATGTCCTTGATTGGAAAACAGGACATGGATATAGGGGAACTAGCACATCCCTGGGCTTTGCTATGGAGTCAAGAAATGGCTGGTGTCTAGAATTGCCAGCCTTGAGTTGTTGATTTGGATTTGAGTGCTGTTTGCCAGCTGTGCGTGACTCTTTACAGAGGTACTAGAAAAACTCTTGTGCACTTGAACCACTCTCAATCCCAGTTTGCACATCCACAAATTCCAAAATGTATGGGGGGTTAAACTGGTGTCTCCTGAGAGGAAAAAGGAGATGTCCAGCATTCAGAGAAAATGCTGTCTAGAGATGTAACCTTAATTGGCAGAGAAACTCCCTGTGTCTGGAATTTTCTGACTGATGTCAGATTCCCTTTTTCTTTTATTATTGATAACTGATCTCAGTTATACCTTTGCCATCCCTAAGTCAGATTGAGGAGGGTGCTACTTCTTTTAATATATTCCTACAGTAGCAAATTTTCTTGTGTAATGCTGTCTTCAGCTCTACCTGTGATCAATACAGACTTTGAGCTCTGAAATCTATACTACTGCAGTGCCAGGAGAGTAAAGAAGACCATGATTCAACTACACCCAACTTTTAGGAAATTGTATTAGAATTCAAATTTTGCTGAAAACTGGGAAGAGGAAGGGAGAAATTATAGTTAAGAAAACTGGAAAGAAATTAAACATTTGCCTTATTTCAATTTTTCCCAATGGGCCAGTACTTCAAGTCTTTGAGACAAGGGTCCATCTTTGTTTTTTTACCAACTCTTCTGTTATACGAAGCAATTTGTCTTACTTGTACTTACCCAGGAATATTAATATGCAAGCCAAAACAGCAACCAAAGCCTCTGTGCTGAGACCCAAGGAATACATGAAAGCTCCATATCGACAGTAGAAGATGTTGACTTCAGTGTCACAGTCGCAGACAGTGACAGTGAGAGTATTTGTGCTTGTCAGAGGTGGGGTTCCATTATCCTGAATTAAGATTGGCAAGTAGAAAAAAAACTGCTCTTGCCTCCTGAAGCCACTTTTTGCTGTGAAAATTCCAGCTGTGTTATCTAGAAGATAAAATTATTATGATGATATGCATTTATATATTTTGCAACCATAGCATTAATATTCAGTGGAATCTGTCCTATTTAAAAGCAATAGTACTCTGTGAAGCTACATGTTAAGAAAGTTGAAAAAGTAAAAGCAGGCACTGACATTGATGCATATTTTGTCAATCATGAATAAATTGCATTTATTTTTAATATAAGTACTCCGGGGCAATAATGAAATTTGACCGAGAAGCTCCGGTTTTAATGTTCAGAGCTAAAGAAATTGAGATATTTTTCAGTACCTGACACCTGTTCAGACTAATTAATTGGTTTTTAAAATGGTTCCATGTATCCAGCTGCTACCAAGCCAGAAGTTCACAGATAAAATATAGACAGTTTGCCAATCAAAAAGGTTAAAACGTGTGTCTAGCAGCACATAGTGAAAACAGGTGGTAAAGAAAAGAAGAGAAAGCAAGAAAAAAGTCCACTAAAATAGTTTTTACTTCTTTCCCTGGCACAAAAACTGGAGCTAGCTGGATTTCTACCATCTAAAATAGCAAAACGATTTAGATGCTTTCAATTTGCTTTGTATTTAACTACCACTGTTTTAGAAATCTGTTCTGTAAAAACCACAATAAATAGCTTAAATTCAGGTCCTGCTGCATATCAATCAATTCAAATAAGTAACTTAGCTTGTTGCAAAACAAAATAGTCCTGTTTACATGGATGTGAAATGAAAAGAAGAAAAAAGAATCTAGAAATATTTCCAGGTCAGAATTTTTTCTCATGACAGAGCAAAAGACTGCGTGTGTGCATATGTAGAAATAGGGGAAAAAAAGGGTTTCTATCATTATCTGTGCAATACATCTATACAAATAGCCCACTGAAGTTAACTCCCTCACATATAAGTTGTTCTAAGTTTCTGTCATAGTTCAGAAAGTAACTCTGATAAAATGGAGAAAAACACTACAAATCTACAGTCTCTTTTTCTCTTCCTTGGGGCTATCAGTTCAACCAGCCATTTCTGTCAAACACAGCAGAAAGGGACAGATTAAAACGTGATTGCATCATATCTCAAAAAGTTTTGTTTTCCCCATTAGTAGCCATCAAAAGGAACTGAATGGGTTGCTTTGTGTGAGGGTATTGGGTTTGGGGCAGAAAGGGGAAAGGTGGGAAAGACACATGGCTTGTGCAGAGTTTGACCTTAATATAATGACTTATCTCTTCCTGGAAGGGAGTGAGAGGTTAATGAAGATGGGAATTGAAATTCTTATTGACACATTGACTAACTTTGAAGATAATTGAGAAGTAGTTTGCCATTTAACGTATTAGGAACTTTCCAAAACTTATTTCCATTGATTTGTTCCCTTAGCCAGAACATTCAAATAATTAGCATGGTCAATAAGAACGATGTGTACTTTAGCTTAGTCTGAAGAAGCTTTTCTTTTTAGTCTCAGTAGACTGACTCTTGAAATTCCGTGCAATATTGCACCTGTATTTTCATCTCAGTCTGGTTTTGCTTGATATTATATGTTATGAAATAGGATTGCAATCCTAGTTACCTGTTTTTATAATGTTGGTTTTGCTGTATTAATGAAATAACAGTCCTATACTTATAGCAATCTTCTCTTTCTAATTATTTTATTTCTCAGGCAAATAATTTTAGCTAGAAAGTCCGAATTTATCACTATATTCAACATTAAGACAATATTTTTTAAGCAATACCGGTGTATTTTTTATCTCAGCTGTTTTTTCTTACCTTGAAATAAAACTGGCTTTTTCTGTTTATATTATTCACTTGAATAGGAAAATAAACTCTTTGATACTATTAAATTATTGTTTTGAAATGGACCTCTAGACATGTCCAATGAAAATTTCTATATAAATGGAAAGTTTTAAGAAATTAAGAACCTGCTGGAAGTGCACATCTTCCATTAGGAAGGTCTTAAAGAGCTGCATGACTGACACTACCTTGATTGTCTTTGACAGTAAAATGTGAGCTGTTTGCATCCTCCTGAGCCAATGAGAAATTAAAATGGTGACCTTCTGTTGAGTCATCTTGATCCACTGCACTGATGCTTTGAATTAGCTGGAAAAATAAGAGAGCATAGTTGTTTAGGAGTAAAAGATTTTCCCCATCCTTTAAAACAATAAAAAGGATATAACAGGTATGTTAAACTATTGATGTTGAAGGTGTGATCCATGAATCTGTATTGAGTGCATAATATGCAAGTATTAATCAAATACCCCAATAGGTTTATTGAGACTTATATTCTGCAAGTACTCTTCTTTAAGTTTTCATCCATTAGAGACAGGCAGACATTAAAATCTTGAGAAAATGTAAAAGGTTTTCCAGATAAAGGATCAGGAGCAAATGAAGTTTCCATAATGAAAAAGAAAAATACATATAGAATATTTTGTTTTTCTTTTTTTTTTTTTTTTTTTTTTTTTTTAATCCAAGGTGAACAGTCCATCATTCTACATTTGAAGAAATCCTTCTGTGCAACACCCTTGAGTCCACAAACACCGTGACATAATTCATCTGGTACACTGCAGCTCCAGTAAGTGACATACCTTGACAAGTTCACATCCTGAATTGTTGATTCTGGCTATTATAACAGATTGATTATGTGTTGGATCTTTATAGTAATAAGAGGACAGGGCTGCAGGTATGGCAGTCTTAGAGCTTTTATTTCAGCTCATCAACCTCTTTACAGGGTGAGACACAGGAGATAGTGAAAGCTCTCACCATAACAACAACAGCCGAAATTCTCTTCATTGCAAGGTCTTTTTAAAAGATTTTAGCTAATAGGATACTGTTAAAAGCTTACAGGCATTTACTTAAGCCAATTACTAAAGTTACACGTGCACCTTACTTTTAACAATGCTTGCTTGTTGTTGGCTTAAAAACTGTGGATAGAGCTTCATTATTAAACTTACATTTTTCTATTACCTTGCTCAACATATTTTCTAAGGCCTATATCTACACAGCTTAAAAACAGACCCTTATTGTTTCTTGTCCTTGTATATCTGTATTCTTACATTCTTCTATTTTGAGCTTTGTTTTCACACATCTTCTCAGAATTTTCTACCTTTTCTATTTCCCACAATTATGGAAATTTTTGGCTGCTTTTTCTTAAGAAAACAAAATAGCCTTCACTTGGAAACATGTCAAACCAGACAGTCATTGCAAGATAAAATAAAAAAAAATAACAACACTCAAAAGAATGTTTTTCATCTCTGTAAATAAACAACCACAGAGTTAACATAATTAGCATAATTCCAGCTTATATTTAGCAGTAAATATTTAGTTATAAACATACATCAGTGAACATCCTTGCTGATCAGAAGGAAAGCAAACTGCTGGAAGTCCACCAACTTTCCACCAAGAAAAGAGAGGGTTGAATTTGAACTTGGGCTCTCTTTTGTCATGTCTTGTAGATATTTGTACACAAGAACTTGAACACTCAACTTTCTTCAAACCACAGATCATCTGAATGATACAAGCAGTGCTTTAAAAGGGAAGAAATAATTCAATGGAAGTGACTACTGATGCTTTCCATCTGTGCCTTTGAAAACTTTTCTGGTTAAATCCTTTTTCAGTCAAAGATCTAGACCTTCATTGCACATTCTTTTTCTTTTCAGACAAGCCAAGCTTGATGAAATCATCACAGCAGAGTGCAAAAATGTGGCTTACACCCCAAACTTGTATTCTTAACATTATTCCTTCTTCACATGTGAAATTTATTTTAAATCTACATTTTTCACTCTATGGAAAAATGAGGACCCTTGAATTTTTAGAGTCTTTTTTTTTTATTGCCATTAATGAGAGGAATAACCTATTTTCAGTGATGTCATGCTGTATAAAGTATAGCCATTCTCAAGGGATTTTTTTTCTTTCCTCAGAGTTAACAAAATAGCTGAGGTGATGCAAATACAGGTATAAAAATGAAGGTCAAGGAATCAGTGAGGAGAAACTGACCACTAACATTTCTTTGATTATCACAGGCTTTGTTTTTATAAGGAAATGGAGTTCCCAGAATATGATCAATATGAACTGTAATAGGGTACAAAATTATATATCCAGTCTAAACTGCAAAGAACACATTTTATAACATTTTGCCACCTACCTCAAAAAAACTAAAAAAGATCATACTGGCTTTGCTTGAAAATTTGCTGGTTGCATGTTCATGGTGGCAGATGAGGATAAATCTTGGTATGGATGTACTCCTGTCCTTAAAATTCAGGGTCTATTAAGGTATACTAAATATGCAGAGTAATTTAATATTCTACAAAAACATATTAGGCATTTTTAATTTGTTTTATTTTGTTCTGTTTTGGTTTTAGTTCATTTACTTGGTAGAGAAAAAATTACCTACCAGCATACAAAAAAAAAAAAAAGTGATTTCCATTCAACCAGGTATCACCAATGTCTTAAAAACATATTTTTAGTAGTATATCATGTGTGAAAATCATAAAATTACTGCAGTTGTGAACCGGATATTGTTTTGCTATTTTGTTATTGATTTCCATATTTTACAGAGTGTATTTGGCTCTGTATATTTTATGTATATCTGATTCAATCAATAAAATTCTAAGGAGAATGTGTCTAACTCAAAAAAAAAAAAAAAAAAAACAAAAAACAAACAAACAAACAAACAAAAAAAAAACCAAACCACCTTCCCTTACTTCGATCTGTGCTGTCCTGTTCTGCACAAACCTAAGATTCTTATGGTTGTTCTAGATAATCACCTTAGCAGCTGGGGAAAATTTGGAACATAAGGACAGGGCAAATCCTTATTGTTTGCTTCTTGCTGTATCATTTCCACTAAGATTCAACAAAGTCCAGATTAGTCTACAAAATATTCAGAGAGCAGTAAGAACTTCTGATTTTACTGACTTTGAAGGAAAAAAAAACACTCAGAGTGAAGGAAATCCCTTCTTTTTTCCAGTTTCCTAAGTTTTTTGTACACCTAATCTAGGAAATTCCAGCCTTTTGCCAGGAAAACTGGTTACAAACCTCCTGCATTTTAGAGCATAAACAAAGAAAATATTTATTGCTTTTGCAAGGTTATGTCAGTTGTGTTGACATGGTTGAAATTTAATTGCTTTAAAAATGCTTATTTCAAGTCTCATTAGTATAGAGGCTTTAAAGCTCCAGCAGTTCATTTTAAAATGAGTATTTCTTTAAAACAGAGATTAATTCACGTGATCCTTTTTGAAAAACTGATTTAAGTTCATGATGGCTTTTGAGGACTTAAAGGATGCAGTGAAATATCTCAATGCACTATCAAAGAAGGAAGTTTCCATAAAATAAGCCACCACAAGCAGAGGTGGAAAACAGGAAGATGTTAATTTCAGGCCTAAATGGAGGTGAAGGTTTGGAATCTGCACTTTGGACAAAATTCTGCTGTGAGGATTTGTGATAAACGTAGATAGCAACAACAGGAGGATACCAGGCATGGTTAAGTCAGATGTGAGTAATCAATCTGAACAAAAATTCCCACCCTGGCAAACTGAAAGAGGAAGAACTTCCTTAAACACATCCAAGTGGTTGGAATGGTATCTTGAAAGTAAATTATTTATTATGTTTGATTATATTTGTGTATCTTTTAAATAGAAAACTGTAGATTATAGAGTAGTTGACTGTCAAGTAATATTGAAAAAATTTCATTGGAAATTTATTTCCTCAAATCCAAATTGTCTTCCTGAATTGGAATTGGAGAATGGTCTTAATGAATTGGAGATATCCAGAAGGAAAGGGTAAAGCTTCTTCGTTACAGCTCTTTCTGCTTTTATGGGCCTTCAACCAAGTTAAAATTAAGGCATAAATCTAAACAACAACCAGTACTCTTAATTTTGATGCTAGAGAACTCTGAGTGTAGAATTTTGAGTCCTTTGTGTGTTAGTCTCACCAATCCTATTACAGAAATGTAGGGAAGTAGAAATATATTTGCCACCTGTCTCATTCCACTTCAGTTCATTTGGTTTGTTTTCTACAAAACACTCTTCAATAGGAGTTCTGCTGTGGATTATAGGATATAAGAGACCTAATCACCCATTTCTTTTGGGAGTACAGAACTGGTTTTGATTAAATTGGCAGGAGTCTTATAAGCAGTAAGATTTTTCTCAGTCTCATATTTACTGATCATCAGAGTTTAGAGAAGGTAAAAGATTAAAGTTGATTACTGTAGTCAGAACTACATGTTCCAGGTAGACTTTTTACCTCAAGACTCAGGTTCTCCTATTGACTATTTCTGTTTTGAAAAGCAAATTGACACAGTATGGAACTGATTTATCTGGGTCTACTGTAAATGTTTCTCCTCAATTATAAATAAAATTGTGTATTTATCTGCAAAGGATTAACAATTACAAAGCTCATGCCATGGCACTGAGGTGCTTTTTTATGTTTGCTCAGACATGCTAATAAACTTCTCCCACCTGTGCCATTCTGCTAAGAGATAATGTTGTAGAATCATGGTCCACATAAAACAGGAAAAGGAATTTTCCATGGGTCACTGTTCCCACTGTTTCAAAACATCACACTTCACACTGGGTGCATCTGCAGGTGTAGCTTAGTGTAAGAGTCTTATATTATATGTTGCTTTCACAACTTCATCATATTTTTACACTCTAAAGGATGCATTCATTGTGGGGTTTTTTTTAAGTTCTTATTTTCTTATCATTACTGCTCAGATGCTTTTTGTAAATATTGAAGAAAACATGTAAGATGAAATAATAAACATTGTCTTACCTCTCACTTTTATTTCTGTGCTAGGAAAAATAATTTTGTATCACGATTTGTTGGAAAGGATATGTTTTAGCTAACTAGTCATTTTTAACATTAATCACATGCTCATAGAATTTGTTTAAAGATTTCCTCTCTTTTCTTCTGTCAACATTTCATTATGTAGAGAAGTAATAGGAAATGAGTACTTTTCACTTTCACTGTAACTGATTATTATTTTATTATGTGCCAAGTACTGAGTAAATAAATTTGGTTTTTTTAATCTCAGACTCAAAGTTCGTGCATACTCAATCACTTGTTTGAACCTAATAAAAATTGCTAAGCAAGCTGCAATATCAAAGTCACTTCATATATGATCCTCAAATTAAAGGAAAACTCAGAATTACGAGAATAAATATGAGATTAGAGATGTCATTAGAGATGACAGCATTAATTCAGAATATAGGTATATTCAGTATCTTCAGCTGAAATCACCTTCCTCTCTGGTAGGAAGAAAGATCAATATTCACAAAAGGGCTGGAATTACCATGCCTAGTTACATTCTGGATTATCAGCTTGCTTACATATAATGTAAGGATTTTGATACAGACTACATCAAACTTTTAAACTGCATCTTCCAGATGAGTTAATTTATGAATATCTTGGGAATTAAGCTTTTTCGAGATCCATTATTGATGTGTCTAGTATTACTTTTGTGGTGGATTTGGTCATCTTGGTGTTTTGACTGTTTGTAAAGAACATTTCCTTTGAAGTTCAAAGGTTTATACTTACTGTACACACCCATAAATGGTAAATATAAAAAATTAATACAACATTGTGGTCGGTCATCTCTTACTGTGTTTACACTCAGTAATAAGGTCAAAAGGTCCAATCAAAAGGAAATCACAGGTTTGAATGCCTTATTAATATTGGTATATTTTATCTGACAATAACTATAGCTGTATTGGGAGTGAAGGCTATTTAACAATGTGACTTTCATGTTCAATTCATTTGGAAAGCAATTTATATAATGGTGGTGGTATAATGAAAATGTTTCTTCAAAGTTTTAAAGAAAACTGCAGTTAGGGTGTAGTATACAGTTGACTTCTGTGTTATAGGACACTACTAAACTATAACATTAAATGGATAGTGAAAATTCCTTTCAAAATGTCTAATAAACATGATGAATGGATTCAACATGATGCCAAAAATACCTATCTATCTGAAACTAAATACTTTTGTTTGAATGACTTTTGGAGGCTAAGCTAAACACGGCTGTAACTCTCACAAAAACACCATACTTGGTGTTGAAGGAGGGGCTTGAAGGTCAGCACTCAGTCAATAAAAGCAGACCAAGAATGTTCATAATCTTTCAGAAAATCTGAAAGTTCAAAGCAAACCCTCTTGTCTAGACTGAAGTTATTATTAACTGTGTCTGAGTCTGGATGATTAGAACAACAGTTAGTGTTACTTATTATGTGTTTTATATCCTATATCACAAATCAGCATACTCTCAGACTATGCAAAAATAACTTAATTGTGACCTGACTCCAAATTACTTTTATAGTAAGCCAGTCTGACACCAAGATAAAGTCTAGATTGAATAAGACAATTCATTTTTTAGTAGTGTCTGTCCCTTTGCAGTGTGTTTCCTTCCTTTTCCCCTAAACACTGTAAACTCATGAAAATATATTTTGGAATATCCCATGAAGTTAGACACAACTTAGCTCAGATCAGGAAAATAAATGAATTGAAGAAGTGCAGAATACCTCGGAAAACATTTCTCAGCACAGTGATTCCAGCTAAAAGGACAGACATATCTGCTTTAGAAACTAAAATGTGACAGTATAGCTATAATCTTTGATCTCAACTTAACATATAAGCAGATTCTATAGCTGTTTGAAATTGATTGCAGAAATATGGTTAAGATAAAAAGGTATGCAATGTCCTGATTAAGTCCTTTAATTGCTTGAACTGCTTCTTCTGAAATGTAAATTTTCTTATTCAGTGGACAATCAGGCCACCTATAAAATTGTATTTGAATATTTTGGTTTCTTGCTGAGAAAAAAAAAAAGGATATATTTTTCTGTGAGTAAAAAATTAAAAAAATATATATTAATAACATCAAAGAAGATACATCAGCTAAAATTGTTTAACTCATAAACACTGAATAAAATATCATAAACTCTGACTGTGATAATTATGCACTTCAGTAGCAGTTTCCTGTTGTTCTTCCTAAGATAATTTGTTAATGAGAAAATTATTTAACATTGCTGTCACAGTCTCAACAGGCTAAACTAAAGATTCCTGCAACTCTCAAAAACCTATAACAATGAAAAAAATGAAAAAACCCAAAAAACTGAAATAGCATTATGTCTTTCTGTAAGGTGAGAAAAATATAATGTTCATCCCTCATTCATATATTGAAATGGCAAAGAAGAAGTATTCAGTGTACTATACTTTAAGAATTTATTATTATTATTAACACTACTATTCTTTACAGAACTTTTTGTCCAATGATTCTCAGAATACTTAATATATATATCTGTAATTGATATTGAAAAGTATCTATTGATAGGTTAGCATACAGATAATATTTATCAGTAGGTAACCATGGAATAAAAAAACTTTGAAAAATAAATCACCTGGGTTTTTATCTTGAAGGCAAGTACAAAACATGGATAACAAATATACATATTATATGCATGCATATTTAATTCATGGTATGTTGAAGCCAAGGAACATAAAGTGCAGTTGATTTAATGCTGTACTTTTATCTGTCAATGAGATATCCAATGACCAATAGAAACGCCTTGCTCTAAATACCTCCTAAACAGAGGTAGCCTTTGCAGACAGAAGATTTCAAATGCAGAACAAAGTTTTTGCTGCTAGAGAAGCATATAAATAGATGCAAAAGCCTATAAGGAGCAACAGGAAAATCTTTATTTAGCTGCAGACTAATAGAGGTCAAAGTAAACCAATATGGCATAAAAAGAAGCTTTTTTGATTCAGAAATCAACTTAACAAAACGTTTGAACAGAGTCATCACAGATATCCCAAAGGTCTTTTTTTTAATGTCCAAATAATGCTTTAGAATGGTGGAAAAACATAGATTTTCCTCTTTATAGCTTTTTTTTTGGGTTGGTTAATTTTTTTTATTTATTGTTTCTTTTGTATCTTTTTCCTTAAAAAAGACTCAAACCAAAACAAAAAAAACCCAAAAAAACAAAAAACAAACAAAACAAAACAAAACAACAAAAAAAACCCCAACCAAACAAAAAAGCCAAGAACAAAACAAAACAAAAAACCAACCAACCAAACAAACAAATAAAAAAAATAAAAAAAATAAGCTAACTTTGAACATCCTGGAGTTTATTTTTGCAGGAGGAAAATGGAAAGACAGCAGTGTACCTAAGAATTGGGGCAGCTGATTGATGATGCCCCATTCACATGGATACCAGGTAGGAAATGTAAAATTACATCCTGGGAAGGACGTTAGAAATAACAATAGCTTAAGCTGCCAGCTAGGAAAGGTGTTGTAAAGGCCGTGTCTTAAACATTTTCAGACTTGCATTGAACTAGTCAGGGTTTGACTTCATTTCACAGTAAATGCTTTCTAACTGAAGGACACAATTAATCTGGTTTGAAATTGGTCTAAGCCTTGTTCTTGTGCTATTGCTGAAGTTACTGGACATAGGTTTTTTATCTGTGACCTTAACATGAAACAAATTTGTGCCCTAAATTTTTTCAGAAGTTTCTGCCTGTACTTTATTACTTGTATTTAAAAACAAGCAAGACACACAGATTTTGTTTTAAAGGGTGAAAAAATGCATCAGTGTAAGGAATTTAAATTTCATATTATGCATATATCAGTAGAACTAATTTTGGAAATAGAAAAAATGCAGTCTGAACTACATTTCACAGAACTGAAAGAATCAATGCTATACATCTCAGACCAAATCTTCATTGTAGTGAGAAAAATGATGGCTAACTACTTCATGCTCACCTGTCCAGAAACTGCATTTTCACAAACAAATGTTTCATAATCTTTAGGGAATTCTGGTGCATTATCATTAACATCGAGAACTTGGACATACACATTTGCTTCTGAAATTTTTTCAGGATTTCCTAATGGTTAAAAAAGACAGAAATAAAAAAAGTCAAAAATAATCTACTACATATTTTAAAATAATGTAAACATTAGAAAATTTTACTTATATTCTGCAGGGAAGAAAATAATCACACAGACCTATAGACATATTTTTATACTATTATAATAATACAGTACCATTATAATAGTATGACTTGAAATAAGATATTTCATGTAAAATTTTGGATTTGTTCATGCTTTTCTTTACTCAATCAGTAACAGATTTAAATGTAAAAAACAAAACCTGATCAGGAGAAATTAAATCACGTTTTGTTGATGAAGAAAAATTTACTGTACTAGTCATAAGGTTATGTGGTAGGAGAGTGTCAACTCTCCTAAGAAAGGACCTTTTGCAGTGCAACAGGAGTTAATAAGGCAAAGAGGAAGTCATAAACAAGAGCATACTGGAACAAAAACCTGAGGGACAAGTGATAAAGAGAGCGTGTGATGAGGACCTAACCTGGTCAGATATACTAATTGATGCAGGCACCTGGAAGTGTGAGAATGTTTTTTTCCATCAGATCAGTGGCCTTGCCAATTGATAAACCAATGGAGAAAAAGGGGAAAACAGACACAAAACATCGAGACAGAGACCTGACAAAACAAACACAGAGGCTAGGACAAGAAACAAACCTAATGATAATTGATGAGCTATCCAGATAGATCAACTTGGACTTTGTAACTGACAAGACTTAAATGAGAGGGACCCCAAATCTGGGGGAATGGGAACTCAGTGGAGATGCACAGAGGGAAGCATGCAGAGAGAAACAAAGAGAGCTCAGCTTGAAAAGGGTATAGAAGGGGCTGGTTGTGTGCAAAACAGATTCAGTCAGTGCATTTTTCTGACTGAGCCTTGCACCTGATCACCAGTCTGTCCTATCAAGTTTCATCTTCTTAATAAATATTTTCTTAGCCATGTCTCTGCATAATCTCACTCTCTCTCTCTGCATATGTATGTGTGCTGCAAGGACTTAGTGGCAGCCACTGGTGTGCCCTGCATATGTGTGAATGAAAATTGGTTCCAGATACTGGAGTGAGACAGAGCTCTGTGATGCCAGCTACTAACTCTGTGTCCTGCTTAGACTTGGTGTGCATGGGGTTCGTCCAGGTTTTTACTGACAAACTTTAAACTGGACTTCACAGTGATTAGGGGTCCTTGGGTCTTGGAGAGGCACTCAGGAGGTGACACTTAGGAAGAACTTGCAAAAGTGGAGTGAATGAGGGATTATATGTGAGTTCTGTGGGTTTGCCAGGAAGCAGCAAGTGTGCTGGTGAGTTGGAGACTCGTGAATTAGATAAGAGGAATTGGGATACAGGAAGGGGTATTGGGCAAACAGAAGTAGGTGAAGGGATCCATGACTCTGTGTGTGCTTGTGAACTGGAGAGTGTTGTGCATGTACACACATGCACATATGTCTGCATCAGTGATCTGCCTTCCCAGAAGAAGAGGAGAGTGGACTGCCTGTGCTTGTAGTCAATGGGAATCCTGTATGTCATTGCTGCTGAAGGTAAAGCCTGGTCTGTGTCAATCCAAGTGACTGACCTTGTCAGTGCCCTTATTGTGAGTCCCTGGAACACGTGCTCAGTTGTGCTACCGGCTGAGCCTATAAACAGGTCAGCAGTATTCCTGAACCTGGGAATAGGTCTTGCATCCCTAGGCTCTAGGAGGGATTTCAGTGGCTAGCAGGAAAGTCATGCTGGGGTGACTGGAAGACCTGGCTGCATTGTTTTACATCACTTGGCATCATGGTTACCATAATGATTGGTCATGCTCATTACTTTAAATAATTTTGTTACTCCTCCTCTTCTTAAATACTTTCAAATTTTGAAGCTTTGGGAGAAAAATTCCTAAACATTTACATTTTAAAAACATTTCTGCCATTTCTATGTGGACATACACATTTAGAGAGCTAGGAAATTACAGCATGGCAATTCCTTTCAGGCCTGTATTTCTTCTGTCTCTCAGGTCCATTCCCAGGCTGACAAGCTGATTACAGCTTCAGATAAGGGAGGCAGTTTCCCAGAGTGATAATTTGGTGAAAAACAGAAGGGAATTCATAATAAAGATTAACACCTGGTGTCTTTCCCATGGGACATCCGGACATGCTGTCCCAGGGATGTTTGTCCCAATTGTCCAATGAGCTACTGTCCTGTCCCAGCTGCACGTAACACACTTTAAATACGGAATGTCCGTAAAAAAAAAGTGGCCCTTTTTCCCCAAAAGAAGTCCGTGTGTGTTGCTGTCCTTTCTCTCTCTTTGCAGCACAGTAACCACATTTCTAGACATGGAGAAATTGCAGTGGATACTGACAACCCACCCTAGCCAAGGCAGAAAGCTCAGACTCAATTTGGGAAAAACACAGCTCTTGTATCCGATGGTCTGCACATGTAAATTTACAAAGAAGTGTGATTTTGCTCAGACATATCTAAGGCATTACTGCTGATAGGCTTCATAGACTGAGTGTTTAGTTTTGGTACAAGTATTATTTTTCAAAGAATCGTCTACATAACAGGTTTAATTCTTAGGCTTGGTACTCACAGAAGATGTATTCTTTCTGTTATTCAAGCATACTTTACTGCTGTGGCTTTAGGTATAAAAAATATGTAAATACAGCTTATTCCTGTATGTAAAGGAAAATTAATAATACAAGTAATTTCTTCCACATTTACTGCCATTACACAAGGTTTTACTGCTAAAACTACCTCAGACAATGAAAAGCAATGATATATGAGTATCATGGTACAAAAGTTGCATGTAGACTAGGCTAAAAAAACTAATTTTTTTTATTGTTCAGAAGTTCTTAAACTTCTAAATTTAAATTAGTCAAATGGACGTTTAAGAAAAAAGCAAAATGTACTCCTCTTTGCTTCTTTTCAAACTGCATCAGTTTGGTTGGTTCTTACATTACTTTTTAAAATGTATAATATACTAGTTATTTGGACTAAACATTTGTTTTCTTGGATCATATGGAATTTATGCTGATAGCTTTGAGTCTTTTCCTGAAGGAAATGGCAGCAAAAGCAAGTACCACAGAGATGAAGGTATAGATACTCAGCAGTTTCACATTTCTATTTCTTCTGTGGAGTCATTACCACTGTGCTAATCTACTGAACCTTGTGATCTGTCAGAATAATTTCAATAATACTTCTTTGTGGAATGACATTTCTCTGGTTGAATCAAACATCCCTAATAATACAGTAGTGCTCAACTTCTGTTAGATAAAGATAAAAAGTAGCATATATCCTTTTTAGAAATAATACCAAGAGTGTAGGAGTTAAATTCTTTTACTGAAGTCAGAATTGGATATGTAGGACAGAGTTTGACTACACCGTCTTTTAAAGGAAAGCTTTGTATTCTTTAATACAAAGCAGGGAATACCTTTGGTGGCTTCAGTAGTATAAAAGTGGCACAGCAAGGACCCAGCTAGTTTTTGCCTATTCTTACCTTGTTTGTTTGCAAGATTCATGGTACTATATTGCCTTTAAAGCTTACTCTTTGCTTGCACAAATAATTTAGAAAACCCATTGATGCAATCACATCTGTATTCTTTCTCCAAAAAATTGGAAGTTTGTTGTTATTTTTATTTTTCTTTTTGGAGAGGGGTAGCGGGGATTTTGTAATAGCCTTCTTTCTAATTCTTTAATATATTTGGGTTGTAGTATCATAGTTATCTTGGTGGGATTATATTTTTTCCTTAGTATAGGGTTAAATGACAAGGAAGAACATTTTTCTAATTTATATATATATATATATATATATACACACACACACACACACATATATATATATATATATATATACATTTTTAACAACATGACAAATTTAATTTTTCCAAAATTATAGATGTTTTGTTTTGGGAGGGAGCAACATATTACCAAGCCACTCTTAAAATCAGTGTCTCGTGAATATTTAATGAGAGTTTTGGTGAAGCAGAGGTATTGCATTGGTTGCATTTTGAAGGCAACCATGTACTTTGTCTTTTATCCTTTTTACAGGAAAATTATTGAATGTCAGAATGTGAATTCAGCTAATGTACGCATATCCTACATTATCTAAATATCTCCCAATTAGCAGAAAATTTCTTTGTCACAATCTTTAGGAGAGGGATCAGGACATGAAAAACAAGGACTAAGAGAACAGGATGTCAAGGGCAACAGGCTGGATCAGTGTGAAAATTAGGATGACACTTTAATTGCTAGGGACCCATATTGGTAGCTTGAAAAGAAAAGCAATGACCCTCTCTAGACACAAAACAGAACTCAGTATTTGCAGGGGATAAAAGAAAGCTTACATTGACATCAGCCAGTAAACTTAAACTCGTAATGATAATACTAATTACTCGCTCTACTACTAACCATAAATGTTACCTTTATTATTAATATTTTTATAGCATGATTATCATTTATGCTAAGGCAAATTTCTTTACTTCCTAAAAGAAATGAACATAAATAGCTTTTTAAGAAGGGACTACTTCAAAATGTTAAAAGTTTATCAACAAAAATATATGTGTGACCAAGGCAGGGTGACAATTAAATATTAAATTGATGTTATCCATACTGAAACAATCAAAGAACTTCAGTCCTATATCCGGGTCTGGAGACCCCTATGAAAGGACACTTGCAAGAGTCAGTGGTAAAATGACTTTTGTCTATTGTGGGTTAATTTTGTTGTGACTGGCAGTATCAAGTAAAACTGGTCACAGAATCATAGATAATTGAGGTTGGAAAAGACCTCATTTAATCAAGTCCAAATATTAACCTAACTCTGCCATGTTTGTCACTAAACCATGACACCAGGTATCACTTCCACAGGATTTTTGAACACTTCCAGTGAAGGTGATGCATTTATTTCCCTGGGAAATTTATTCCAATGGTAGACAAACCTTTTCCAGGAAAACAAATTTCCTAGTATCTAAACTTCCCCTGGTGCAACTTGAGTCCTTTCCTCTCATCCTCTTTACTTGTTACATGGCAGAAAAGACTGACCCCCACTTCCCTGCAGCTTTCTTTCAGATAGAGAGCTCCCCCTCACTCTCCTTTTCTCCAGTCTAAACAGCCCCAACTCCCTGAGCTGCTCCTCATAAGACTCGTGTTCCAAAGCCTTCACCCCCTCTGTTGTCCTTCTCTGGATATGCTCCAGCACCTCTGGAAGTGAGTGGCCCAAAACTGAATGCAGGACTCAAGACACCAGTGCTGAACATAGAGGAAAAATCACTGTCCTAGTCCTGCTGGCCAAACTGTTCTGATCCAAGCCGGGATTCCATCAGCCTTCTTGGCCACTGGGGCACATGCTGGCTCGTGCCCAGCCTCCCTTGACCAGCACCCCCAGGTCCTTTCCTGCCAGGCAGCTTTCCAGCCACTCTGCCCCCAGCCTGCAGTGCTAAGCAGGGTGGTTGTGACCAAAGTGCAGGACCTAGAAATTGGCATTGGCCTATCAATCCAGCCTGCCCACATGTCTCTGCAGAGCTTTTATATCTTTCAACAGAATAACCTCCCATAGCCCAGCTTGGTGCTCTAGTTAAACTGACTAAGAGTGCACTCAATCCAATCACCCAGTACTGACTGTCTGCCAATTGGATAATAATGATTTAAGGATTTCTTGCTCTCAGATAGGATTAGAATGCGGTAGTTTGTGCTTCAGCCTTGTTCTTGGTGAGTTTCTTCCAGCCAAGTAAAAACTGATGAAAGAAAACTTGATTTTTCTTGAGCTTTAGGCGTAAAGTGGAATGAGAGTCAACACGTTGCAGGTTCTCCCTGCTCGCATTTAAGTTCCAGCAAATTAGACCTACTTCTGGATATTTTCAAGCATGCTCCCTCAATGGCATGAGGATAGGATGATCCACACCACAGGTCCGAAATAACAGTCAAGCCTCTCTTACTAATCTCTGATCCCTGAAATCATTGCAATGGACTGAAAAGTCTTGTGTAGTGTATGAATGTCAGGGCATCAACAGGCTCCTAGGGAGGTTGCTGTTGTAATGGAGTTTCTATGTGTGACTTAAGGTGACTTATTTGGATGAACTCTAATGGCATTTTGATTTGGCATCAGTGGAGCCATAGTATCATCCACCAAATGTCTCGTGCACACAGTACATGTTATGACTGTATTTCAAGGAATAATATACTGCTAGTTCCTGATTCAAATTCTTTCATGTGTGCCCAGACCAAGGTGACCTAACTTCAGTTCTTTTGAACATATCATTATAGGCAGTGACCTTATCATAATTAAAGAAATAAAGAATAAGAATTTGAACCTAATGAGGTCTCAGTTTCTCTACAAAAACTTTCATTACTGTGAAAGTCTCACTTTCTTTTGCTTCAGGAGACAGTTATTCATTTGTAACATTTCACTCTCTCCTGTTTTATTGTTTAACTAAATAAAAAAGTGTTGGCCAAAGTTATCTTGCTGTGTTTCCATAGCACTGTTCAAGACATGCCAGAGATCAGATTTGCCAACATCTGTCATCTGCCCAACAACATGGGAATGAAATTCATGCTGAAAATTCAGAGAGAAGCTGAAAAGGAAGACAGTACCATCAATTCCTAAATACAAGTTAAATACTTCAATGAAAATTGATATACTGACTATCCTATAGTAGACTTCCAGCAGCAATGTTCTACAGGGAAGGCTCCCTTTTGGGAGCAGTGCAATTTAACAATATATGTTTAAAGTGGTTGTAGCAATAAATGGCATTTAACTGAGATTCAGGAGTAAAGAACAGGTGCTAAGAGTATTTGGCAAAATCTGTCTGATTTATTGATTTTACTCTAGTTTCATACGATTTTCCTCCTTCCTGAAGATGAATGGGATTAGTTTTTAAATAATATCCCAGTAATTTTGTTAAACTGACTTGTAAATCAGGAGGTGTTAAATTTCTAGTATTGTCCCAGATTTAGGACAACCAGATCACCAAAAACACAAACAGGTAATCTGCATTTGACTTTCATACAAAATTGACTGGTAGAATCTATATAAAGGGTGCTTCAAAGCTTTAATTGTCACTGAATAGACGTCTAGATGATTTAGGCCTTAACATTCACAATTAATTTGAGCCACAGGTTTCTGAATGGTGTTAAATTAGACCCTGGCTAATTTCACACTAGTCAAAAATCTGGTGTGAAATTAACCAGGGTCTAATTTAACATAAGATCTTGCACTGCAGGAGCAATTCTTATGCTTCAGTGTAACTTGAAAGCGTTACACTCTCGATCCTATTACAGTTTCTTTTTTCATAAGGTCATCTTTTATGAAAAAGCACAGGACCTTGGAGCTCAAATACATTCCACTTCTATTTAACTAATCATTTTAATAATGCTCCTTAGTGTAGCAAGCAACAGTAATACAATCAGAAAGAAGAATGTATTCTCCTCTTAAAAGAAGGCACATACAGAGGATAATTACAGCTCACAGTGTAGAAAAAAACCCGTTCCTTAAATTTCTTACTCACTTGTTTCTGTGGCTGTAACAGTTATATTGTGCCAAGAAGCTATCTCTCGGTCCAGAGGTTCAGTGGTAATGATTGCTCCATTGTGTTCATTGATGCTGAACAGTCTCTTTAAAAGTGTGCTGTGGACAATAGAGTACCTGCACCAAAAAAAGGAAAGACATTTCCTAGTACTGAAATGTTCCATCAGAGGCAAGGACATAGAAAGCTATTGTCAGCTGAGAAAACAGAAGTATGCATATATGCATATAAATGTGTGCTGCAACAACTCGAAGATGAAAAATGTACACTTATAAACATTTAAAATTCACTGCTGCCAAGATCAAAGCTCTTCTTTTTAGAAAACTAAATACGTCTCAGATCTATATTAATGTGAACTGAATCTGAAATGCATTATTCATTCTTACTTCTAAGTCAGTCTCACAGCAGGTGAATGACTTTACTGAAAAGAAACAGCAAAATTGCCACTTGTGAAATGAATAACACCAACATCTAAGTGGAGGTATAATGACAAATCTGTTTTATCATTGCTGACATGCTCTGATGCCAAGGGAATGGGCATTATAAAGACAGACAACTATCTGTAATGGGATGACACTAAGGCAGAGTACAAAATCCTAATGCAGGAGATGATTGCAGTGCTCCTGAGTTTTTGCTGAAAAAGCTCTGGATGCTGTAGACGTGTACATGTGAGACATACATGTACACAAGCCACTCAAGCTGCTAAAGTCTAACCACTTGTTGCAGGACAAAGATTAACTGAAATAGCAATCAAAGATATTGGTTCAAATGGAAAAGATATTTACTGGTGTTTTTAATGGACTAAAAAGCAAGAAGACCATATGATGCAATTGCTAATAAAGTGTATTTCATGGAAATAAAACCTGTTTGAATAGTTGAAAGATACTTTCCACTCCAATTTGGAATGCCCACATGCAACTATTCCTTTTTATTGTACCTTTAATTCTGCTTGACAAAGCCTTTCTGTTTCCTGTTGACACTTAGGACTTCAGCTCAGACAACTTGTCAGCCGTTAAATGACTCTTTAACTTATTATTTATAGATACGTTTTGTCTCTTTTATAAATCAGTAAGAAGATAAATCGAAGAACCAGCACAATAAGTAAAAATTCTTATGATTTGAACCAAAGTTTGTATACTTATAAATTTCTTTTTAAGGTATTTATAATTTTTCTGACATAGTTATTTTGGGTTTTTGGGCATTTTTTGGTAATCTGATTATTGATAAACATTTTTCAGAAGAACTATATTAGACATTTGCTATTTTTTATTACTGACAGTGAGGTTTCGTTGCATATCCTTTTTAATTTGTTTGTTTGAAACCTGGAGTCCACAAAGCAACACAAATTGTTTTCTATATTATAACTATTCTAATTTAGGATAGGAACGGTTTCAAAATTAGATTTATTTTCATGGCATTTAGCCCAAAAAACTTAATATTAGAAGTGATATACTCTATTCTAAAGGAACTCATTGATGCAATACCTGTATCACTGTTTTGGGACTATGCAGGCATATTCAGTTTGAAGCCAGTTCCTCCAAAACATTTCTAACTAAGAAGTTATAGATATGTGTTAACATTTAATTGTTCCACAGGAGATGTTGCAGTTATCTAAACAAACCACCAAATGAGCCTTTTTAGAAGGGGGAACAAAATAAAACCATGTAATTTTTTTTCTTATTTAATTTAACCTATTACTAGCCTAAGAAATAACAGTAAATTAATGGAAAATCATAACAAATCACTGCCTAAAGCTCTGAAGCTGTAGCATAATATATATGTATATCTGGCATTAGAAATCTACACACCATAAATTATTTTGTGTCTCAACCATTTGTCATTGTATCCTGGTTTGTCTAAATTGCTTCGTACACAGTGATGTAAGGCAATTCAAGAAGCTATTTTAATTATAAATCCCATGTTAAAGATTAGTTACTTGTTTTCTCCCTTAAGAGATAGCAAAATTATTTATCATTGATATTGTAAAAAGCAGAATCTGCGGTTGCTGAGTTGAGTGGCTAGGTGTCAACTGGCTGGTAAGGAATTGTTTTGGGTCTTTTTGTATCATTTTTTTTTCTTGGGGATTTGTTGTAGATTTGGTTTTTTCCCATCTCTTATTTTGTTTGATACTACCTATTATAATTTTTTTGGATATATCAATAATAATAATAATAAATAAATGTGTTTATCTGAAACCGTGAGTTGTCATAACTTTACCCTTTCAATTCTCTTTTGCATCCCAGTGTCTGTGGGAGTGAGCAAGTGCCTGTATGGTCCTCACCAGCTGATGTGGGTTAAACTATGACATCTGCAAAAACCTTAGCTATCACAGAAAAAGCAGAATTAACTTAATTATGAGCTATGGTGAGGAACAGAAATATGCTTTGGAAATACTAACTATATTTGCATTTGAGGCTTGTTCACATTTTCAGACAGGTACCTGATTGGACTGTTGTCAACATCTGGATCTCTAGCTGTTACGACCCCCACCAGTGAACCACTCTCAGCTCCTTCAGTGATCTCCATCATATAGTTCTCTAAGGTGAAAACTGGAGGTTCATCAGCATCTTCCACACTGATTTTGACAATGGTTGTGTCTTCAAATGGTCCTTCTTTCAAAAAACGCTCATCAATGTATCTGTTTACAGCTTTTACTTCAATACTGTGTCTCCTTTTGCTCTCATAATCCACTCTCTGTTAAGAAAGAAAGGGAGATTTGGAATATTTCTTTCTTCATATTTAAACTAAATATAGTTTAATAAATGGTGTGAGATTAAAGACAAAATAGTGTAATACTTTGAAGAATGCTAAAAAAATGTGTACTTCTAAAAGTTAATTCTAAGGTTTCCTTTTTATGTTAAAAACACATTCAAATTTAAACATGCTTGTTGACTTTCACATTTCACACTGGCTTTAATGCTGCAGTCAAGCAACACTTGAAAAAAAAAAAGTAAAAAAGAATTCCCATAGAGTGTCACCCCTAATAACAGTTTAATTTCAATTTTAGATAGCCTGTATCTTTTGAAATAAATAAATAAATTAATAAACAAAAGACCTGCTAAATAAATAGCTTCCCACACTAAAAAATAACCTACCACAAAACAAAGAAAAAAAGATGAAAACAAAACAAAAATACTCTCACATTTATAACATTCAGTTCTTCAGGCTCCTATATTTCACTAGGCTATTGAACTCTATCTTCGTTTTAGATGATCCCTGATACGACCAAGACATTTTCTGGAGTGATTCCAAAACAAATTACATAGTATCAAAGAATAGTAACATTCTTAACTCATAAATTGGTCTTTTTTGATTGTACTTAGTATCTTTTCAGAGCTATTTCACAACAAAAACTCCACTATCTAATACCGTAATAAATTCTGGTTTCAGTTTACAGGAGGTGTTGGAAATGAGGTGAGAATGCTTACAATTTATTGATAAAGATTTTACAGACGATGCACAGAAAAAATAAAACATTTTCTTACAACGAGATGCACTGTGTTGCACAGTTAGGGATAACATTAAGATACTCTGACTGTCACTATTATATTCAGCAGTAATAGGAATGAGTCCAAAATGTAAACAGAAAGAAAAGCAATTTTCTTTTTATCCCTCATAATATTCCAGTCAAATCACAAAGCCTAAAGAAAAAAAAAAAAAGAGAGAATCTAAAGCCATAGGCCGTTTTTATACATCCAGCTTGCTTGAGGATTTTCTTTCTAATATTTAGAGATTTTTTTTTTTTAAGTTTCTGAGATCTCACCCTTTTTAGTAAGATAATTCCTTCTTGAGTCTCATTGTCAGTAATGATGTTAAAAGCATCTGAGCTATCTGCTTCAATGGAATAGTCCATGGCTGCATTGTCCCCGGTGTCACTGTCCTCTGCGAAGACTCTGCCGACGGTGGTGCCAACGGGAGCCTCTTCAGAGACACTCATGTAGTAGAGCCCTAAAGAAACACATACTGGCAAAGTTGAGGGATCTGACATTGGTTAATAAGCGATGCAGCTTGGAGCTCTCAGAGAGCTTGGAAAAGCTCTAACTTCTACCAGAGCAATGGACATAATCTGGCATCGTACAGATTTTGGGTGCAGGGCAGGGCAATCATTCCCCTTGGGATCCCTTCCCTCTCAGCCCTACTTCAGCAGTGTATAGAGCAAAGGACTAAAAAAAAAGTAGTCCACGGTTTTAAGCTGAAGGAGGGAAGGTTTAGATTAGATATAAGAAAAATATTTTTTACTAGGCGGCTGATGAAACACTGAAGCAGGCTGCCCAGAGACATGGTGAATGTTCCATTCCTGAAAGATTTCTAGGTCAGTTTGAATGCAGCTCTGAGCATCCCTGCCCATTGAAGGAGGGTTGGACTAGAAGAAATTTAAAGATCCATTCCAACACAAACTATTCTATGATTCTATGACTGAACAGGGTGAAAAAAGAGTGAAGGGCAGCACTTCCCAACAGCCCAGTTTTTTCCTGATAGCCCAATGAGAAACTCCCATATCTTCTATAAACTACCTCAACAGAGAGGTTCTCATCATTTGCCAAAAACTTTATAGTAGGTGTCAGAAAAAATGAATAGAGGAAAAGAGGAAAGAAGGTGAGTGAAAATTATGCTAAATATCCTGTTTTCCAGATTTTAGGCTGAGGTAGTGCAAATTATAGGGAAAGCAGTTTAACAAATTTTCTCCAAAGTCTAGTGATAAGTAAAACCAGCAGGCTTGAGATTTTTCCAATGATAGATTTTCTTTTCCTCTTAGTTTTTGAGCTTTTGTGAGGACTATTTTTTTTTTCACTTTTTGGTTTTTTTTTTAAGCAGTATGCTAAAGTCAAAGCACAGCCCTGTTCTAAAAAGCCCAACCAGCAAACCCAATAGAGCTACAGTAGATATAAATTTCCTCAAGACTTCCATTAATTAGCCTCTACTCACGCTGTTGAAATTTAGGTGGATTGTCATTGACGTCGGAGAGGTTGATGGTAACAGTGGCTGTTGCAGAAAGTGCTCCTGGTTGCCCAACCATATCTTTGGCTTGAATGATGACCAAATACTGATCTTTTGTTTCCCTGTCCATTTGGGAAGCCATTCTAATGACCCCTGAAAAGAAAAAGTATAATATAATAGCCTATGAGTCTAATTTTTTTCCTCAAAATCTGACATGGGTATATAGTAAAATATGCATATAACATGTATCACTGGACCCAGTTAAAAGTTTTCATTGTTGACTGTGCATAGCACAGCTATCCTAATACTGGGTGTTAGTCCTCATGGTAACAAGTATGCTATTTGTCAAACCCATTGTGTATATTTAGAGTTTTGGGGAGAAGAATACTCCTTATATTCCCTCTACCATGTATAACAATCTCTCTTACTCAGAAATTAGGTTTTTGGAGAGATGTCACTTATCCATGGTTTCTCCAACATACAGATAGAAATACCACATTATGTGCCATAGAACTGTTAATTGAGAAGTGTTCCTAGATTAATTTATTAAGTGGGATATTCAGAATGTAAGTCTTTAACAAAATAATTTTCTAAATGAAGTTTGGATTTGCTAGAGAGTAAGAATTTTGTCTTCCTATGAGAAAGAAAAGTCGATTTTCTTCAGATCTAGGAACTATGCAGAAATGTAAGAGTGTAGGGCCTTATCAGTTGATATTTGTGTGGAAATCAAGAAAGACAATTTTGCTTGCATCCATTTTATGAGTTTATGAATGCTTTCAATTACAAATTCACTTGTAGTACCTGTCTTCGGCTCCACAGAGAAATAAGGCTGTCCCTGAATGAGACTGTAAAGCAGACGAGCACTATTCCCATAAGAAGGATCATCGGCATCTGTAGCTGTTACCTGTGTAACAGAAGTACCTCAAGGAAAAATAAAATAGATTATGTTTGTTTTCTCCGTGTATAAATTGTCTCATAATTACAAAACATAAACTCTTTAAAAACCTTTTAACATACTAGTTACACTAATAAACAGTCCTAAAAATTTACAGGAGCAAATGGCACCTACTAAAATTTATCATTAAAAAGGCAAAATAGTTCCTCAGCAGCTGTTTTTGTTGCATTCAAAATTTCAATAAAAATAAAAATAAATAGTTTATGGTTTTTTAGCGCTAGATTTATATTGCTTAAAATACTACATATATCATTCCTATTTTCTAATATAGCAGTGAAGTAAAGCAAATTGTTTCTCCTCCTCTTGTATATTCTTCAAAGTGTTTTATGGAATTTTCCCATAGGAATAAGAAAACACAGTCACTTTATCACTAGTAGGCCCACTGCTGCTAAAGAAATTAATTGTTATCAAGCAAAGCAGCCAAGAAGTATAACAAGGTTCTGATTTTTTTTTTTATTTTTGAGTCTTTAATGAGCTTGTCCCAGTGCAAAACTTGTGGCAGAAATCCCAGTGCAAAAACACAGTGGAATCAAATTGCAGAGCTTGATTTCTTCTTTGATGAGGAACTATTCATATCCTAGATAAAATACTGACAGTAACCTCATGGTACCATCTCTAATGACTGTCCTTTAAAAAAAATATCCCCAGTAGCATCATTTTTTAAGGTAATCATTATTTTTGTCTTTTTCCTCACCTAGATTCTGCACTAGAATACAAATATCACTTCTTGTGAGGAACAGCAGGAAATCAAGCTACTGTCTAAAAATTTCTGGCATACATTCACACAGTTGCACCTGCTTATCAATATAGCAGTACAGTTAGGCTGGAGGAGAAAAGAAGAAGAAAAGGTGGAGTGCAAGGAGTTTGAGCAGAAACACGATTTTTAATGACAAGCAAATGTGATATTTGTCCCAAGTAAAACAAATACATTCATTGTTGTGTTTTCTGGCAGCTAAATAGTTTTATTTTTAAATATAAATGAAAACAGATTTTTCATATAAGGATAGACTAAATTAAATAATTAGTTTCTTTTTTTTTTTTTTTTTTTTTTTTTTTTTTAGCATTTTCTCTCATTTTATTATCAGCATTTAAAGTGATTCTATAATGCATGCTATCTCCTCTCTGGCAGGGAGTAAACAAAACTGTTAGTAATTCCCAACAAATTTTGGACCTATATGTCCTTCAAAAGTTACATACTATATCAAATATCTGACATGTTTGTTTAGATGCATAAATATAGATGTTTTAGATATGCATAGATGTATAAACATATAGATAGATAGATAGATTCTTTTGTTCTGGAGAAATTTTAAAGATAAAATGACAGATTCATATTTAATCAGGGCACATGTATGCCTCAGAAATGACAGAATTCTTTAATAAGACTGAAGAGTAAATGTAATCTTCAGCTACACAACTGTTAACTTTGTATTAGCTGCTTCATCCTCTAAGAAAATTTAACATGACTTGAACACAGTTGTTTTGAAAAAAATTTTCTGGTAAGGAAGGAATCAAGAACTACGGATGATCCAACTGGTTTAATCTTTCATGAATGCCATTTTCTTCTAAACAAACTCAAGTGTCCACAACTATGTTTAAGAATGGACTTATTTATAGCAATATGTTTAATGAATCAAGAATAATATCCGACATATATAGGAATTCAAAGTTATCATCACAACATTTATACATCTCACATTCAAAGGTAGATCTATTTTCTGCACAGTTTCTAAGCATTATAAAGAGATATTGAATCTAAATCAGCATTTCCTTCTTCTCTGGAACCCAAACTCACTTTTCTTCTTTTCTGTTAACTTTTCTAGAGTATTTCAGAATGAAGAAGTAAGGACTTTGTCTAGTTGTAGTCAGTGAGATGCAGCTGGTGGATGTAATTAATGGAAATATGAATAGTCAAAAGGAATTTAGTAAAGAGAGAGCTGACGTGAAAGGAAGAAATAACAGATATCCTGCACTCCAAGGAGGGTGAAAATTTATTTCTAAATTGGGGTATCAGGAGACCATATAAAGAGAAGGCTATCATTTCTCATACCCTTTTGGAACAAAGATTGTGTGATAACTACATGAACCTCTATGTTAAGTACGGACTATGCAGAAAGAAGAAGAAAAATGTTACCCTGGTTTTAGAGTATTTTCTCAGCTTTTAGTTTTTCACTTTCATGAAACCTGTATTTCTTTATACATTTAACCACCAGAAAAAAAAAAAAACAATCAAAAAAAAAAAAAAAAAAAAAAAAAAAAAAAAAAAAAAAAAAAAAAAAAAAAAAAAAAAAACAGAAAAAACCCCAACAAACCAGAACCCACCAAACCCCCCTCAAAACCTAACTCAAACCTTTTGCAGACGGGAATTATATTTATCTGGCATTTGTATTTGGGTGACAGAAATCGAAATGTTAATATTCTGTACTCAAAAACTCCCAAAAGCCATTATTTCTAACTACATGATTGTGAGAAGAAAAATTGAACAGATACAAATAATATATTTTGAAACAATCAATTAACATAAAACTGCACACATCCCTAAAAATCAAGAAACCCCTAAACCCTAGTCCTGATATTACAAACAATTGAAGTTTTTTATTTGTTTTATTTAAGGAAAACTGCTACTTTGTATCTTTGCAGCCTTGGTTTTACCTTTCTGGGGCAAAAATATGGTAGAGTGCAATTTATACGCTGCTGCCCATTAAATATACTATGGGGCCCTCATATGGCAAATAGCTGTTCATTTTTCTAACTAGAGCTTGAGATCTATAAAGACATTAAGTGCTGATAGATTATTGCATCTGACTCTTAACCACTCCATCAGATATACTGCATTTGTACAAGTTTAACAGCTATAAGGAAGACAGTGTAAAATTGTACCAAATGCCTGAGGGTAAAGCAGAGTTCTGTGTTCTCAGAAGAGAGTCCATTTGCTGACACGCTTTTCATTTACTGTGACACTTGCATATAAAACCCTAATAAAATTTAGTACTGAATATAAAAGAGAGCTAATAAAGAATTAAAATGTATTCCAATTTGTTGGCACGTTTGTATTTATATTGATACTTGTAACTAACTTCAGGCACGGTTGTTTGTTTCTATTTTCTTTATTTACTGTGGTTGTCTGAGGCAAGTGACCAGCTCTGAATTACTCTCTACTCGCTTTCCTAGTTCCAGACAAAATGTGCAATAGCAATGACCTGCTTTCCCAGTCATGACCACGCTTCCTAAGACTGTTTTCTGTGATGAAATTATTAGGAGACTGAGCATCAGTGAGATGAACTGAAGCTAGAGAACACAGAAACACACAAAGAACAAGCCTCTCCATTGCACTGTATCGTTTAAATTAACTCTGATCTTCACCTCGTATTATGCAAGAGTATATTTTAGTTTACTGGGAGAAAAACACTAATATAATCAACCACTATGCTGTCAATATTACAAATTTTAGTGGGTTACTCTTCCTCTCTGCTATGAGTTCATAAATTTCCTTGTAAGATTGGTTTAGAGTGTGCACTGAAACAGGTTTCACCTCAGTAGTGCAGTCCCTACTTTTTGAAAGGCATGGTAAGTGAGCCCCAAGAAGCATTCATGGTGTGTGGCTCAGTTGTTTCATGTTTTGGAGCTGACCACTATCAAGTTATACACTCCACTTGCCTTGTATATTCCAGACATACACATTACTATTCCCGTAGTGTCTCCATGGAAGAAGTAGACGAGAGAATGATCTTTGGAATAGCTATGGTATTAGTGCTAGAGAGGTCAAGTGTAGAAGCAGTAATGCAGAAAATATTTCACGATCCTGGATGACCTGGATTCACGTATCACACATTAGATGATCGTAAATGAGAGAGAGTTTACTATCTCAGGAAGTCCGTGTCTGAGAGAGAAGGAAAATAGGGATCTTACTTCATTTTTCACATTCTGACAAATGGAAAATGGTTTTAATTCTGATTTTTTCATTTACGTTTTTTCATTTCATATATTTCTATAGTTCACTGGAATTTTTTTTTTAATTTATAATATTACAGGAATATCACAAAGTAAATTACATTTTCTTCAGTTTAATTAATCTTATGCTGAAGTGATATGGTGTTTTAGGAATCTAAATATATAATAGATGACACAGGAAAGTGGACAAAGACAGTTGAGCCTTTCATTTTTAGTGTATTTATAGAAAACTCAAGGCAATATAGAGTGAAACTTCTTGATTATCAACTGCTTGTTGATGGTTTCAGGTAAGAAACAGAGGTATCTGGGAAAAGATTACTACTGTTTTTGTTCTTAAGTACCACCCTGCCTGACTTTTTTTTCTTTTTTTTTTCTTTTCCTTATAGCCATAATGAAGACAGAAAGATAAAATGGAAGAAATTCAGTTGTTCATACACTTATGTGAATGATTACAAGTCTCTGTGAGTACAAATGAAGACATACTAAATAATCAGCTAATTAAAAAACATTTTTATAAGAGACTAGGGAGCTTATAAATAATCTTTTATCACTGAGAAAAAAAAATAACAGAAAAGAATTATCAAAGTCGTAAAGTTTTGAAATCCCAGATAATTCTAGACATTTTTTATGTTCTCATAGTAAAAATAAGTATAGTTCCTATACTCATTTTTACTATGAGAACATAAAAATAAAAACGCAAAGGACTTTGACAAGAAACCTATCTTAGCTCCAAACTAGAGCAAATGAGCTAGATGCAAAAGCTGGAAGAACCCTCTGAGCAAGCAACTGATTATGTTAGAAAAAATTATTTCACCAAGAGGTCAGGATCAGAATTGTCTGTCTGCACAGAAGTGGCAGTGAAGAAACAGTAGAAGTGATTTCCCTGGTGGAAGGTGGCATAAGCAGGTAGCAAGTATCACTAGCAAATAAATTGATCAAATGCATGTCTTTTGTCTGCTGCTGGTAGTGATGGTGAGCTGCTGCATCCTGGCAGAAATTAAGATACTAATCCCACTTTCAATTAAATACCAGGCATGAATATCCTTTTCTTTCAACTGCTATCCTGGCTGGTAAGAAGATAAAGTTTATTGCTTGCTGTCAAAGATCCACTGATTCTGCTCTAAAATTTGAGCAGATAATGCTTAATAGCATCACTAATGCTATTACATTAATTACATTAATGACCTCATTGATTCATACCATTTAAAGCAGCAGAATATTTGAATTTATTTTCAGTATTATTTGCAATAGAAATAAACAAAAGAAGGCATATAAATTTAAAAGATTACTGGGATCCTTTCTATAAGATCTGAAGAATCTGGTTTCTCTTTGATTTTGAAGACAGTTTTTTGGAGATATTATCTATAACATGCCTGTTTATGTCAGTTGTACTCACACTTTGAGGTTTTTGAAGGCTTTAAACATACATGTGAGCATATTATGAATGAATATGTGTGTATAAATATATATATATATATGCATGCCTATACTTGCTAGATGTTGACTTTGCTTTGCATTTGTTTTATTAAGTTTCCAGATACATGACAGACCCTAGTACAGGTCTATCTGATCATATGAAAGTAGGAAGGAAAGGGTACAGCTGTTCCTCTTGACGGGAAAATTGCAATTCATATACTTAGGAAATCGGAAGGCAGTCCTTCATTGCATACTATCTGATCCAAACAAGGAGAAGCTGACTGATAGGAAAGAGGCTTGGCAGCATAAAAGGTAAGTGACATGCAGAGTGAGGGTGGCCACCACATCTTCACAAGTGGCTGCAGTACTGTAACTACTTCAACTGGAAACGTTATATTTTTAAACAAGTGAAAATTTCAAGGCTGAATCACTGACAGGAAAGAAAAATATCTATAGTCAATCCAAGCATGTATCCAGAATCTGTAAAAAGACTAGGATAGATGTAGGCACCTAAATATTTAAAACCAAGAATGTTAAGTAAAGGTATTTACAACCCTCAAGTTAAGAATACACCTTTGCAAATTTCCAAAACTGTGAAGCAGTTTGCTTCCTTCTTACTGAGATGCAGCCTCTAAAATATGCTATTAAGATTTTACCTCAACACAGCTGTCTAGAAAAAATCAGGAAATACTGTTTGATTCACAGCATATCATACCTTCAGGTGACATCTCTGGAACAGTGGCCACATAAGGTCCATCCAAGAACTGAGGTTCATTGTCATTGACATCTCGAACCTTGATGATAAATTCTGATTCAGGCTCAACAGGAAGATGAGTGCTCCTGTTAATTGCTTGTGCTCTTAGAATGTAGAAAGATTTCTTTTCTCGGTCCAGCTTTTGAGTTACATAAATTTTGCCATTATATTCATTCATGATAAAAAAGCTTTCAGCTCCCTCCCCAGTCAAAATGTATTTTAAGTTGCCATCCTGCTTGTCTAAATCTGATTTCAGCTGAAAGTACAAAAGAGAAAAATAAGTTACAGTTTTGGAAGGATGAAGTTTTGAAATATTCATTTTATGCTTTGTTTTGATTCTACAGTGAGCCCTGTCACTAATGAACCCACTTGGACACTAGCATTTGAAAGAAGGTACTGTCAACCATTTTCAGCCAACCATTTTAATTTTAAAATATTTAAAATTATTTAAAATGTTGATCTATCAGGCATATAAATGCATGATATACCCGAAAAGAGATGCTTGAACTACTTTGGAGTGAAGAGAATGTCTATAAGTACCTACTTTGTTTCATTGTTTTATCAGCTCCCCTAAAATTCTGCTGGAGACAATGCAAGGGTCATTAAACATGATCTATTTTTTTTTTATTATTGCAAATGACACTTGTACTTTTTAAGTTGGTGGGGTCTTTTTAAACTCAACAATGCTAAGTGTAAATGTGAGCGACCGTGATTTGCTGTTTCTATTGAAATATTAGAGGTGAAAAGATATTCTTGGTGAAAGCCTGTATTGTTTATTTCAAAATAAATTGATAGACATTTCCTATTGATCTACATCCTCTGTTTTATTGATAAAATGAACTTTATGGTGATGATTCCTTTGATGAAACTGGGCCTCTAAGACAATTTTGGTCCAGCGGCATTGCATTTGTTCATGACAACAAAATAGTTCTATTAATGTTAGTGCTACATAATAGAGCAATATTTTACGAGCAATAGTTTAATTTCCTAACATGGCAGGCATCCACAGTTGAATTTTATGGAAACAAAAATTTCCATTATATAATTAATTCTTTATTTTTTCTCCACTTATTTTGGTTTTACAACAAAAAATGTCAAACTCTCTAAGAGCCTGGATACTAATTAAAAATCCAAAGTTACAAAAAGAAGAAATTATTCAACTTGCTTCTCTTATGAAGCAACATGTTTAAAATGCAAATGATATGCCTAACTGTTGACTTTAATTATCTCCCTGTTTAGTTTATAGTTATTCACCCTAAAGTTCGTTGTAGGTTGTGAGGCCATAGAAAGGAAAAGTAACATTTGCCCATTGGATGTACTCAAATATTTTGTAATAACTTCTGAAGTTGCAAAAATAATTTTAACTTTTCTTTGGAAGAATGCCTATGCCTTTTAAGATTTTCATAATTCATAATTGTCTGCATGCATCAGACGGATAATTTATTCAGAATGTGACAGGGACACTTCTGAGATATGAGGAATGGTTTTGAGTTCCTACTCTGAGTTCTGTAAAGGTATTTAAGGCCTAAAATATTCAGAATTAATTATCCTTGCCAGTCCAAAAGACAGAATTTTCAAGTCTAAGGGGATTTAGAACTACTTAAAATATGAACAACATAAATATTTTCAACATAAGCAGTTTTGTGCTAAACATGTTACCCCCTTTATAAGTGGTCTGGTCAAACTCATTTTAGCACATCCAAATTTGCCATCTCACTAAGAGGCAATGCAGATTCTTTGTTATCCATAAATCTTGGTTTCCTTATCACAAAACCCAGTACATGGGAGAAGTGATCTATATCCACACCTTTAAACTAACATGGGGCTCAGATGTGACCACAGAGTGTATCAAACCCTTAGGGTCTGGGAGCATGCCTTTGCCTGGCTGCTGAGACATAACCTGTATTTAGCAATTTCACTCAGAATCTTTTATCCACAAAAGATTTCATGACCTTGAGCATGTTAAATGAGAGGTCTCTTACAGATGACATTTGCTAAGAAAGAATAGCAAAGGTTCTCAGTTTACTTGTTTTTTTAGGCTGGGAACAAAATAAATGGTCTTACCACTGTAAATGAGAACTGAGAAAAAGTATTTTGTGTATCTACTATTGCAGTGCTGATGGACAAATTTATTTTTTCTTAATCTTGATAATAAAAAAGGAGTTATGAGTCTATGTTAAATGAAATTTGAAAATTTAGTTCTGACTGTAAAAGGATTTTTATATGGAATAGTGATTTAAAAACAGAGACTGTCTACCTTTGTATTTTCGTTGATGCAGTTTTCTTCAAGGCCTTAATTACTAAAAATTCATGTGTTGGTCATAGACTACCACTTCATTTGCTGAAAGCAGTGCATATTCTACTCAATAAAAAGACACAAGTAAATATGTCTTATTACACAATGGTTTCACTGCAATATATTAACAATAATCTTCAATAAATTCCCCAGTTAACCTGTGAGAAATAAAAAAGGTGAGATCAGGACAATACATTACATTTATAAAGTTTCTTTGCAGGAAACTGTTTTCAAGGTACTGGAAAAGTAAAAATAATTTAAAAAAATAGGCAGTATGTCTTTACTTGTTCTTTCAGAAGCGAGACATCACACTTCCATAGTAACTACTTTGAAAGGGCTGTGAAAAAGTAATTAATGAATTTTGAGCACTTCACCCTTTGGGCCCAATTAAATTTTAGTGCTAGTTAATTAGCAGTTAAACTTATTTTGGCTCATTCATTTAAAAAGGGCCTTCAAGAAAATAAAACCAGATCTCAAGATTAAAATTACTTCTAGCATACAAATAAATAATAATAATAAATACAATAATAATAATGATAAGCAGAGAGAGAACGGGGCAGATAAACCCTCATTAAGACAATTATCTTAAAGCACATTTTTAAAGGAGGGTGAAAAATAATTGCTCGTTGTGCTAAACCTACATTAATCTAATGAACCATGCAGATTCCTGTAGTTCCTTAGTGGTAAAAGGATTTAGTATTAATCAGCTTCATTAAAAATTAATGAGGGGCAAATCAGCTGCTACTTAGTGTAATAGAAAATCATGCTAAATACTGTTTGTAAACTACACTACGCTCAGTATGGCTGCTTTGATGCAGTGCCAGAAATAGCACAAGCAAATTGCCAGATGTTGATAAATGATTCCTTAACTTCCATTCAGAAGGAAGAAAGGAACTTTTCAGCTTTATACCTTCATCTGCTGTGTACGGAACTAGTTTTAGTAACAGCATGCATGTGAAGTTTCCTTGACAGCAGTCTTGAGTGAAGGAAGGTGCTTGGGAGTGCCATGGCCTACAGCTCTCGGACTTCTCTGACCTTGAGTAAGGTCATAGGAAAGGAGAGATGTAGCACTGCCTTATTACAGCTTCCTGACCTCCTCTTTCTACGTTTGCTGCTGTTTCCACGTCACTGGAGATATTTGGTCTTCCAAGTCAGGGTAGAAGGTGCTGATCAACACGCTAAAACTAACCCTGCACTGTCCTTGAATCACAGCTTATCGTACCTGCCCAATATACACAGGATTCGGTGAAATCTGTTCCTCAGTTGCAAAGAGGGGCTCCCACAGCCAGCCACGTTTCACTCTTCGAACTGCTGTGAAAGATTGAACTGTCTTTTGAGTTCTGGAGCTCTGCGTGCTGGGAGAGCAAGGCCAAAGTTGAGCCAGCATCACCATGAGACGCAGCAATACAGAGGAATTCATGCTGAACCGTTCTTCCGATCAATCTTAATCTGTGGAAGAGGGAAAAAAATAAAAGAAAGAAAACTTTGAAAAGGCATCACTTTTGTCTTTCTACTTTTATGTATTGATTCTGTGCTAATGTAAGAACTGATTTGCAGTGCTAAATTCTCCTCCTCTCTCCTAAAGTAAAGAGCTGAATCAAAGCCTGCTTCTTATTAAAACAGACACCCTTTCAGAGTCTCTAACATGGAAGTCAACTGCTTAACTTTTCTTTATGAATATCCTACACAGGGACTTTTATGCAAAAAAAAAAAAAAAAGGAAAATAATCCTTCAATTAATTCATCTTACAAATTAGACTGGGTAATTGTATTGTGTAGCCTAGGAATAATTTGATTGGAATAATTGTACGTTTTTGCTTAGAGAGGACTCATTTTGAGCTGCAGTCACAAAACTGCCTGAAGGGTGAACATCTAGCCTTAGTAGCCCTGATGACTGACAGCTGAAACAGAGTGGTGCAGATATTTTTTTAACCTCTTCTTACCCACTTTCCCAGCTCAGCAAAATGCCTGCAAAAATGTCAAAGGTGATAGGATACCATGAAGATGCAGCAAAAATTTACAACTTTCTCTTTCCCAGCCAAACAGAAATATGGACAAAGCAGAGGTGTTTAATGGATTCTTTGCTTGTGCCTTTGGCACGGCTGATGCACAAACGAGTTCCCAGAGCTCCGAGTTGGAGGACCGTGACTACAACAATGATCAAATCCCAGTTGATTCTGAAATTGTGCAGGATCTGCTGCTCCAGATGGATCCCTACAAATCTATAAGGCCTGATGGGATTCATTTGAGAATCCCCAAAGAGCTGCTGATATCATTGCAAAACCTCTCTCGATGATTTTTGTGTGGTCTTTGGAATCCAGAGAGGTCCCAGCTGACTGGAAAGCTGGTGAATGTTGTCCCACTTTTCAAGAAGGGCACGAATGAGAGCCCCAGAGACTACAGGATTGTCAGTCTCATTTCAGTGACTCATCAAGTTATGAAGAATGTTATTCTGGAAGGTATTGAAAAACACCTGGAGGAAAACACAGTAATTGGTCACAACCAGCATGGCTTTATGAGAGGAAAGTGCTGCTTATCAAATCTGATTTCCTTTCACTTCAGGATGTCTCACCTAGTTGATCAGTGGAAGCCAGTTGATGTAATCTTTTTGAATTTCAGCAAAGTTTTCAATACTTTCTCTCGCAGGATCCTTCCAGACAAAATTTTCAGCACACAGATGGATAAACACATCATATTTGGTGAGCAACTTGCTCACGGGTTGGGAACAAAGTTACACTGAATGGGGTGACATCAAACTGGGAACCTGTCACTAGTGATTTTCCAGAGGACTCCATGCTCACTCCTGTATTCTTCAACATCTTTATGACTTTCATGCAGGACTGGAAGGAATATTAAGCAAGTATGCAGGTGATGGAAAACTTGGGGGAGCCTTTGAAGGCAGGGAGACCTTACAGACAAAACTCAAAAAATTAGGGGGCTAGGCAATCACCAACAGTATGAAGTTCAGCAAGGGAAATTGATGGATTCTGCACGTGTGATGGGGCAACCCTGGATGTACAGACACACTGGGGAATGAGAGGCTGGAAAGCAGTGCCACAGAAAGGGACCTGGGAGTCCTGGTCGATGGCAAGTTGACCATGAGTCAGCAGTGCCCTGGCAGCCAGTAGGGCCAGCCCTGTCCTGGGGGGCATCAGGCACAGCATCACAGCCAGGCAAGGGAGGGGATTGTCCTGCTCTGCTCTGAGCTGGGGCAGCCTCACCTTGAATATTTTGAGCAGTTTGGGTGCCACAATTTAGGAAAGAAATTGAGCTATTAGAGAGCATCTGAAAAAGGGCCATGAGGATGGTGAAGGGCCTTGAGGGGAGGCCGTATTGAGGAGAGACTGAGGGCACTTGGTCTCTTCAGCTTGGAGGAGACTCAGAAGAGACCCCATTGCAGTCTACATCTTCCTTTTAAGGGGAAAAAGAGGGACAGATCTTTTCTCTGTGGTGACCAGTGACAGGACCCAAGGGAATGACCTGAAATTATGTCAGGGGAGACTTAGGTTGGATATTAGGAAAAGGTTTTTCAACTAGGAAGTGTTTGGACACTGGAACAGGCTCCTTAGGGGAGTGGTTAGAGCACCGAGCCTGACAGAGTTCAAGAAGTATTTGTACAATGATCTCGGGTACATGGTGTTACTCTTGGGGATGGTCCTGTGCAAGGCAAAAAGAAGTTGGACTTAGTGATTCTTGTGGGTCCTTTCCAACTCAACGTATTCTGTGATTCCATGATTCTGTGTCTTAACAGATTTTACCACCTCTGACATTATTTTCTCCAATTAATCTGACAAAGAGCAAATGTATCTTAAAAGCTGTAGGTATCTGTAGCTAGTTTCATTTCTACTTGTATACTTTCAGAAAGTGAAGACTTTTCACAAACTGTAAGCTATTTCTGACTTTTCAGTGATTTCTAGCACAATGAAGGAAATTTTAAATATAATTTTATGCTCAGTTAAGATAGCCGTCTTCTATGAGGTAAAAAAAAAAAAAAATTTTGAAAACACCTACCCTAAACATTTCAAGTCTTAAAAACTATCTGACAATGGCATTCACCATTCTTTTTAAGGCTTTAGCATTGAAGAATAACATTTCCTATGAAGGAGAAGTCTGGTTTATGAATTTGTGACACACTAGTCAGTTTGAAAAACACACTTAAAAAAATATTTGCATGAATTTATCTTAGACCTGAAAAATCCATGTCTTTTGGCTGTCCAGGGTAAAATATAAACCTATGTATCTTAAATTCATTATTTAAGTATTATTATTTTAAATACCCATCCTTATCCAAAAGTAAATGTCATAATTGCTTAAAAAGACAGATAGATAATACAGGAAACTATATATTTCCTTCCAGCAACTTAATATGATGTTGGACAACAGTTTGTTAAAATGTAATCTGCAAAGACAGATAGAGAGGAATTCTAACAAGAAAGTAAAATAGAACTGCAGAGACTAAAGTATATATTCCAATTTCTTCACATTATGTGCTTTTTGACTGTAAAGCTTTAATAGTGCAAGACAAGATTTGAATAGAAGGAATGTGACTTAGGTACCCTCTTTTTTCAGTTTCCTGTAGAAAACTGCTTATTTTCCCATAACTGCAAGAATAATATTTGTGACATGCAAGAAAAGTCCAACAAAGCTCAGCTTGGCTCTGAAATAAGGCTTGAGTGCAGTTTAGAAGGCCTAAAGACCTGGGAGAGTCTCTATGCTAAGGGTGTACTTAATGCCATGCAGTAATCTGCACACAAAGTAACCTTGAAAAGGAACATTCATTTTGTTGCAGCACATTGCAAAGGACAGACTACTCAAACAACAAAAGCTGAACAGTCAACGAGACCTTTCTGAGGAATCATAGAAAAATGTATTTCAATCACTGTTTATATGTGAAGAGAGTTGTTCAGTCTGGGCAATAGCAAATACTCCTGGCTAGGCTTTTTTTTGTTGTTTTGGATGCTTCTGGAATTTTTCACCTTATTCAACAAAATATCTCGGGCTTGTGGGGCAGTATTTCATGCAGAGTGAATGCCAAACAGTCATTATAAAACCTGTCTGAAGATACCTGAATAGACAACATCATAGTGAGGGTGCAGAATACTGCTGTGCTGGTCTGCTGTTGGCCACCTTCTTGCAATGTGCTCAGTAGTCACATATGAGCAGCATAAAATAGGCAATGAATATTTTGGAGCATTTTGGTGTCTCCTTTTTACTAAGTTATGGTAATATCCTGTGTTATATGGAGTTCAGCATCATGTCTCGAATGAATTGGAACAAGTAAGTATTTTTTGATTCTGATGTGTTGCGCACACTATTACAGATGGTAGGCAAATTCCTTTAAAAAACAAAGCTATTTAATGGAATTGAAATCTATACATATCTCTGGGTTTTTTTCTCCTCTGATACATCAAACATTCTCAATTTGCCTTTACTTTCAGGACCTTTCAAAGCCTATTTGCTTCCAACATCTTCCTACTCATTTGGCATTGGGCCTCTGCCTTCAGCTTCTGACCAGCATGTGTTGCCATTTTTTACAATCCAATTGTTCCCCTGTGGAACAATCATCTTCCTTCTCTTCCACTGATTGTAGCTCAGTCTCAGAAGTGAATCTCATAAACTATTCAAAAGTAGTTTCTTATTCCTTCATTGTTCTCTAGTATTTTCTTTAAAAATCCAAACTTCAGTATTACCTACTTAAAAGAAAAATAAATATAAAAAGGCTCACACTGTTTAAGAAGATTCTGTGCTGAGACTGCTGCCTATCACTGTGTCTAGTATTGCCTCATTATCCCCTTGTACTTTCCTGTCTTTCCCTATCTGTCAGTTGTCTCTTGTTTTACACTCATTTGCTATGGTCTTTGTAAAAGAAATGACCTTGTACTCTGTGTTATAATTATAGTATGCAGCAGAAGGGAGGATTAGTTAAAGCACTGAGCTTTTGGGCACTCTAGTAATATGCACAAATAGATAATTTTTTAATAGAATAATTTCTCACTGAAAATAAAAAGTAACAAAAGTCCCATAATTTGCTATAAGTAAAGCCTTTTATTTAGGAAGTAGCGAAACACTGAAATAGGGTAGCAAGGGATGTGGTAGATACTCCTAAGGTAGAGACTGCTAGGACCAAGTCCTCTATGTGTTTGATGATATAATTTTGAAACAATGACTCCAGAAAAAAACAAATCTCTCTGTCCTTTAATGCACTAAGCAAAAAAACCCAAAAAACCAAACAAAAACAAACAAACCAAACCAAACAAAAAAAACAAAAAAAAAAAAAAAAAAAAAAAAAAAAAAAAAAACAAAACAACAACAAAAAAAAAGGCAGATTGAAAGACATTATTTTTATGGAATTTCTTGGTGCTTTTGCTTGATTTAATAACACCAAGCAAACAAGAAGAGGAATAATTAATGTACGCCAATCTAATTCATTAATATGCAGCTTCTGAAACATTTCTTATCTCAAGAACAGCCTTAACATGATGTTGCTTCAGTTGCGTGTTCTGTTTTATGCATTGGTGTTTTTATTATTGTGGTGTAATTTTCCTCTCTTGTATGCTGTTATCTTTAATTTTCACTTAATAGAATAAAGAAGAAAGGGTGTGTGTATCTAACCCCTACAGATTTCCACGTTATAAAAAGCTTAAAGGAATAGAAACCTTCTATTTCTACACTACAGACTTGTTCATTTGTTCTATGTCTACTGGCTATTCGTCCTAACTGCATTAATGTGGTTGAACACCGAGCACCCTAGTGTATTATAAGTGCTACTGCTCTATCCTCTTTCCAGAAAACATTAGATATGGACTCATTTTCATTGACTAGTTTGGGTCTTGCACAATATATTAGACACCTAGACTATATTACTTCTGCAACTAATAATATATAATAATAAATATCTCAATTATTTCAATGTTTTGTGGGTTTGATTATTTGTTTTTTGGGTTTATTATCTTTACAGAACAATGATAAAATCTTCTGGTGCATACAAAGTACTGGGCTTAATCCTGTTCTTGCTACTTCTTATAATTTTTGAATTTCAGATAGAGTAGGATAATAATTTTTCCATGTTTATTGTGTTTAACCTCTGCATTATCTTTTTCAGGTATTTTATCTGTGATTTGCTGTTTTGCAATCCAAGATTTTTTACCAAGTAAGTACCAAGATTTCTTGAAAGTAAATTTTCCATTCTCCTTGTATTTTAACTATTTTATTTGGAGACTCTAGAAGAAGGCATACTAAACTCCTAAGGAATAAATACGGCAGGCATATCTACCTTCAACTAAGCTGGAAGTCACTATTGAGACAGTAATGTTTAACTAAGCTTATAAAAAAGCAGCAGCCAAGAGAAAGGACTAAAATTTACAAAAATTTATTTTGCAATTTGAACTTAATTTTTTATTAAGTGCAATCACATTTGCCATTTACCCTACATACATATCGTGTGATTGACTGAGTGATTAATTGATTTTTGTGACTGGATAAAATTGACGCCAATCCTGCTGCAGCTTAAGGCACCTTTTCCATTAACATCTCAGCTTACATTAATCTGCCTGAATTATTTTCTTTATGGTTAGTCAAGTTTAGCTATTATTTTTATTGAATCTAAATATTTTAATTGTCTATTTTGACTTTCTGGTCTTTCGCATACTTTTCTTTTTAAAATAAATCTGGACTGTTACATCTAATAAGTATTCTGAATTTAATTATACTGTGCTTATCAGAACTAACGTGTAAATGTAATATTCTCTTCAGTCAATTAATTAGAGGTGTATCAACAGTTGTCTTTCCCGTCTGCTGCACAACTAGCTAGTTTAAAAGCTGCTACTTAACCTTGAGAGGTGTTTTCTTTAATGCACATCTCGATGTGACATTTGACCAAATTATGTTGACTGGTAGTGCACATTAATACAGTATAGCTGCATATGTCTCCACCAGTCACCCAGAACTTCCCTTACATGGAGAGCAATTACTTAGATGTTATGAATGTATTTAAATTTCACTTAACTCTAATTGGCACATTATTTTCTTCATTTTGAAAATATATCGTTGTGTCATTAGGGAAGGCCTTCAAACTATTATATAGAATTAGCAGTGTAATTATCTTTCAGATATACATGCACAAAATAGCCTAGAGAAAGGAATTTTTAGGTTGATTAGTGCCTTTAAGGCTGTGGATTTTTATCAATGTGGAGCAGACTCACTAGAAATCATGTCATTTGTAGTATTTTATATATATTAACATAGTATATTAACATATCCCCCATACTTTACTACAATACCTGTTGCACTGTACAAAAATCCCAAATGCAATTTTGGATTACCAAACCCTGAGTCTTCAAAGCCTGACAAGCAGTAGCTAGATTTCTGTCCATACTAGATATTGAAAACATCTTTTGCAGTATCAGATTGTGATATTTATTTCTTGAAAAACTATGTTGCCCATTAAAAACCTTTGACAAATCTAGGGAAAGGTAGCAGATTTGTTTAAAATTAGGGGAAGGGGGATTAAGGTGAAGGATAAGATTTCCTGCAATAATTAAAGAAACTGAGAGGTAGAGCTGTTACTTGTTCAGCTTATCAAAGGAGATAGTACAGAGGATGTGATGACATACTGTATGTTCTACAACCTCATTCTGCAGTATCATTGGTAGCTCTCATTCTCTTAGTGGAAAATTCCCTATATTAATCACCAATAGACATGAGTGAGACAATATTGAGAAATAACTTTAATTTATAATGACTGTTGGTAATATTTTACTCCGTTTGAGCTATGGCATACAAAACTGACTTCACAGTACCTATTTCCTGATGGCCATGAGCATACACGATGATGTAACCAGTCTCTTGCCTTTTTCAACTCTGATCTCTGATCCACTAATATTTTTTAGAGCTGAATAACCGTTTGCTGACCTGTAAGTTTGCTGAAGATATATGTAGCTGGGACCAGCTCAATATTTCTGTGTGTGGTGCAGCATTCTTATGTTTGGATTAGGGGTTTGCTGCCACTCATTGCTGTGATCTTGTGTACAAAGATTCTCATGAACCTTTGAAATACATGATTATGAAAACACAAAATCATTATTTCACTCACTGTTATCAACCATATAACATAGAGCTGGAAGCACAGCCTCAAACATTTCAGTCCTGCCTGAGGCAGGAGACGCTTGTCTTGTCATTGCAATTTCTTTTGAGATACTTTAGAAAGAACCTGGAAAAGATGACCCAATCCATCTTAAAATCTCTAGGTACAAAGAAAGTCACCCACACCATTCCCACCAACAAAATTGATTGTGTGTATGTAAGGATAAGCTGCAGTCGGACAGGACTCTGTCAGAAACCTTTGCCCTACAAAGGTGACCTTTGGAAGTGCTGATTAAGGTAAACGCTGCATAGGGACTGAGCCAGAGGCAAGCTAATGTTTCTGTAAACTTCCTCCATGAGTATTTGTGTTATTGTTTCTAAGATAATAACAAAATTAAATCTGCAACATCAGAAAGCAGTTAAGTAATTAAGTGTTTCATTTGGAGTCTGCTGACTTCCTCCAAAGGGACCAGCAGGTACCGCTAAGAACATCACGCTGACACACACACACACACACACACACACGGATGTGGTGGATTCCCCCGGAGGCAATTAAACCTTTGAGACTGCTCCCTGGTTCATGTGGAATCTTGTGTTCTTCTGGAAGCATAGCTTTTCCACATGTACCTCACATACTGAGGTATGAAGTTATTTAATGAATAGTTTAATAGACAAGACATAGAGTTATTCCTACTTCACTTTCTTTGTGGGGAAGAAAAATGAAGCAGGAGGAATATCTGTGTCTCTTATCTAAACACTGATAAATTAATGATTATATTTTGTTCTTTTTCACAGACTTTCTGCCATACAGCTAAATGCTACTTCAGTCCAGATGCTTCCTAGCTAAAGAAAAATGGAAAAGCTTACCTTAGAACTTAACTTTATGAAAAATTGTATTCATTCTCTGCATTCGTTTAATAGCTTCAGCAATTTTATTTTGATATAAAAATCGATTTGTTAAACAGATGCTGAGATGTTAAAAGATTCAATTATGGCAGTACCAGTAGTTGTGGTGCACTGCAATGTCTACACTAAAAACTAAGCAAGCATTTAGTTTTAATTGTAGCTTTCCTTAACTGGGACTATTATTTATTTCTAGGATAGTAAACCCAAGTATTTTAGCATAAATATTTTGCTGATTAAAAAGACTAACACATGTACACAGTAAAAACAGAAATTCTTGCCTTCTGGCATTTGCTTTTTATTGTAGGCAAGTAACAAATCCAATTACAAGATGTTTGATTCATTGGGCAAATCCTACTGGAACATTTTTGGCTCTGCAGGATACCACTCAGTACTGAAGAACCACTTGTCAGCATAATGATGTAAAGGACTGCATTCTGTGATTCACACTTGAATCTGTTTGCCAAATGATTTTCAGGATGGCACTTCACAAAATGCTCCAAAACTGTCTTTAGGATTTAGGTTCTTTTAATCTCTTCAATTCATAATTATTCTTTGCATACATTAAAGCTAATAGTGCAGTGAACTCACCTTTTCTATGGTTTTGGAGATTTAATTCCTCCAAACATGAGATAAAAAGAAGCTTTGATATTCAATTTAGGAGGATGCTCTTTCTAGAATTTGATGTATGTTAAACTTCTGGGTTTCGTTTTAGAGTTAATATTCCACATAAGACAAAACAAATCAGAAATACCCTGAAATGAACATGCAATGTATGTCAATGGAACACCAGAATGGAATCAGATTTTAATTCTTATATTTGAGGAAACTTACCAGGATGCATTTTTGAAGTAAATAAATATTGAAGAAAGCAGTCCCTTACAAGCAGTTAAAGAAACCATAATTTTGTGTTTAAAAAAAAAATTAAAAATATATTAAAAAAAAGGAAGTAAGGGGAGAAAAAAAGGCCATTTAAAAACCAATTTCATTAACTTACATTGTTCTTTGTTTATTAATAAAACACATTAGGTAAATAGAGTAAGGAAAAATTCTTTTTAACCATGTGGAGAGTTTTTAAATATCTGAATATCTGAGTTTTAGAATATCTGGTCTGATATGCAATCCAGTTATTCAATTTAAAGGCATAATTTAAATTCATGGACAGAAAAAGTTTGTGCACCACCACCATGGAAGACAACTGAAAACATGCTGAAAGAATACACCTGCCTCAGAGTCTGCAGTTGTATCAGATAGGAAAGGGTAGAATTTGCCTGGTTTTTGAAAGAGACAACACTTTGAAAGGTTGCATATTTTTTCAGAATAGTGAGAAATAGAGATAGAAAATCCCTAACTGACAAAATTTCTACAAATATTTTTTCTTGCCTTTTTATTCTCTTAATCTAGTACTCAGTTGATGAATTTTCCCTTATCTCCTGCAATGGAATAGACTCTGTTTCTGTTTTGTTTGGGTCTCAATGATCAGAGGCTTGTCTCTCCTTTACCTCTGATTTCAATATTTCACTGTACTACTTTACTACCAAGAATGTATTTTCTTTATTTATTCCATGAATTGTACTAAAGGCTGATATCCTTTTCTAATGTCTCATATATCATAAAGATTTTAATTCAATGAGGTCCTTATTTGATTCAATTAAGCATTGTAAGCATTTTCAGGCACTGAGGTATTCAGAACAGTAGAGGAGCAGAGCATTATGTCATCCAGGCAACACAAATGGTGTTGTACAATCAATTTCATATCAAAACTTTTCAAAAAGCTTTTTTTTTTTTCTTTTCTGTCACGTTTTGAGGTGTGGAATAAAATTTTCCAGATAGGGTCCAACAAAGCCCCTTAGATTTACAAATTGTGCTTTTTTATGTATTTATTTTTAATGAAATAATATTTAATGAGAGTCATAAATAAAGAAAATTGTGAAAATTGAAGGAAGTTTCTAGCTATTGATATTACATCCTCCAATTTTTTTTTACTTAAAAGCTAGTTTTAAAGGATACGTGTGAATTTAGATCTTTCTGACATCCCTATATACTGACATAACATCAAGATATACTATAAGGTTAAGCAAAAATAAAATCGAAGTTGCATCTGGGGCTTCACTCTCCATAGTCAATTTGCCTTGTGTTATCTCAGAGCATAATTTTTGTCCATTACTTGCATGGTCACCTATAGAATTTCTCATTACCATTCTATTTGGTACATGCAAATCTTCCTATGATGAGGGGGAAAATGCTGTTTATACTTCCATTGTCATTCAACAGTCCTTCCAATGAATCAAAATAGGATATCTTCAGATATTATTATTAATTATTAATTCCCTTTGACTAAAACTCCACTAATAAGGAAATCAAGAACATCACTAGACTATATGTTGCAATTTGCCTTTGAAAAGTCATTGTTCAGGTTTCACTCTGTTGTTGGGTAGTTCTGCAAGATACCTGTTTAAGAAAGAGCCTTTAAAAATTCCTGCTATCATTTGGTACCTTGAATACTCACAAATGCTGCCTTTTCAACACACTTTTATCACAGGTCCTTACATTCTTCAAGGTTTACCTTGTTTCAGAGAGGGAAACAAAAAACAAACAAACAAACAAAAAAACCCAACGGTGTGATAGCCATGGAAAATTGGATTAAAAATTCACTATGGCTAAAGTGGCCACTATGGCCCCAAAATTCAGATGATGTTAATTCAGATAATTGTTATTGGTAGTTATAACGATTACTTAGGTTCTGGACTGATGCCCTTGATAGAAGAAATCCAGACATACAGATCTCTTTGAAGCTGGAAAAATATTAGTTTTTATTTCTCCATATTTTTCGTTTTGATTTTTTAAACTTTTTATTATTTTCTTTCCTTTTCCAACCATTCTTTACCTTATTAAAACATGATCTCTCTAGCCTTCATTGAAGACTACTTTCTCACTGAGAAGCTAAGGCACTGAATGTTCCACCCCACTTTTTTTTTTCCTTTCTTCATTAAAAAATGTTTCCTGTTTGCACCTCAGATTAATGAATTACCTATTCGCCTGTCAGTTCTGTCCTCACTGCTGTAGGTCATCTGCAATCTTTGTGTCTCTCCTCGTTACCTGTGTGACCCTCTGTTGCTTCTCTGCTTAATGTTATCTCTCAAACAGACCTCTCTGTGCAGATTTCTTTTAATATTTTACTTCATAGAAGCCTATTGTAAAAAATTATATTGTTGAGCCAAAGTCGCTGTGTGTCATTCAGAGGGTAATTTTGTCAATTTCAAGTCCACTTATGTACTTTGTAGCCTCAGCTTTTATATCTCCAACTGAGCAGGTATCATCAGGATTTTATGTATTATCAGAGTATTGAAATGCACAATTAGCCTCAACATTTTTACATTTCATCACCTACTTTTTCTTTCAATTTAAGAAGCTTCTTAAGCCAATAAGCCAGAAGGAGGAGACAGGCAGAAACAGAAGGAAAGTAATTCCCGTCTAGGATGACTTTAATAGAATAGAAATCACCATGAATGGTAAGTGACAAGAAGTGAGATACTGGAAAAGTCAGATGTTTAAAATGCAAGACTTCATTTTCATACAGTGATAAGGAAAGAAAGGAGCTATACTTGGAGTAAGGACTGCATCAAAAAGGGGGACCAAGTGTGCTGAGCTGGGGGATTTTCAGTCCACAAGAGACATTCAGAGCACAACTTCTCTCCTGGTCAGTACACAGTTCTGTTGAGCAGGGCTTTGGAAAAGAGCAGACAAGTCCTTTGCATTTTTCAGTTTTGTCCTCAGCTTTAATAACTATACTTAGCTAAAATCTACAGATATGTTCAGTATAGGTAAATTGAAGATATTCAGAAATATTACTTATGGGATGATTTTGTGACCTTTCATCTGAAATATTTATCAGTTGTTAAAATTTAGTGAAAGAAACACGTGTCTGGGAGAAATCAGCAGAGCACTCTGTTAAGTATAAAGTACTCTCAGTTGTTTCAAAAGAATATTAAAACCAACAAAGGCCAGTGCTGGTGCTGTGACATTAGTGTAGTGCACTGCATGACAAAGTAGTGTCTCCAGCAAAAAAGAGGTAAGAGAATGGATTAAGAAAACCATAGAAATTATTGTTATCAGATCTTGGTAATGAAGTGCCCTGAGATGTACTACCTAAAGAAGTTGTGCAGTCAAGAAAGGAGCAGAGTTTGTGGAAGGCAGAAGTCATCTGAGAAGATTTCAAAGAGCCATGAAGAACTGTATTGACATGCAGGAGGCAAAAGGATTGGGAGTGGAATTGAGTTGCAAATAGCCATTTTGTTAAAAAATTATGGGTGTTTAAGGAGAATAACGGCTCCAGGATAAGAACCAGTTAAGTTGAAAGACTAATTTCCTGAGAAAAAATTCTGGATAAAGAAACAAGTAACAATGTAGAATTAAGACAAAAAAGTAACAATGTAAATTAAAAAAAAATAAAAAAGAAAAAGAAAAAAAAAGGCTAAAAACAAAAAGAAAAGGGAAACCCACCAATATCAAACTAAATGAAATTCTAAAATATATTATGGGTAAAACTGACCTTATACAATGAATTTCATACCTTTATCTGTATTGATTTTCTTAAGTAGAAGAGACTGTATAATAACCAGTGTTTCACCTTGGAAACTTGCCTTTAAAAATTAGAGACATATGGTACTAAGTTGGCAAAATATGACCAGGACTTTTTCTGCTGTGACAATTACCAGTTTTTATTGGTAACTTTTATATGTCTCTGTAAATTTAAACAGCAACTCATGGAGAAGAGCAGGAAGAAAAAGCACGGATTGTAATTCCCATCTCTCACTGCCTTAATGACTAGATTTGTGAGACACATGGGAGACACACTTCCTCTGGGAAGTAATGTTTTAATAAAATCTCGACAGAACATAGGAGGCCTCTTCATGGATGCACACATATATTTTTTAAAAGTTATGTGCAAGGCTTTGAGTACTTCTTCTAAAGTTAATCCCTTCACAGTTGTGCATGGAAATTAGTATTGAAGAAATAGTGCTTCAGAGTTCATTAATGAGTGGATACTTTTCAAGCCACTTCTTGGACATCAACATTCCTGCTTTGTAGAGTTTTCCTTTCTTTCTTTGGGCTATGGAGCTTTATTTGATTCCTGTGGAGCCAGTTGGATAGCTTCAATTCATATAAATGTAAGAATATGCAGCTTTCAGAGATATCATGATTCACTACATCATAATTTGCCCCGCAAAATAAAGTCTTAAAAAAGAAATTACTGTAACAGTCTTTTTGGTAGTTCACTTTTTAAAACCGACTTCATGCACATAATTCCCCTTCTTTCAGGAGTCTGAGTTTCTGGCTTTAATTCATTGCAAGCCAACAGAAACTGGGAAGTCCATGAAGTTGCCATAGCAACTCAATGGACAATGACTTAATTCCCTAGTTTATATAAGACAGAACTCATATCCTGCAGACAGTAATGGTCTTAAATTTTTTAGATCTATAAAGCCAATGGATGATATATATTTAATAAATAAGTATCTGTTCCTTAGTTAGTGAAAATGGGCTTTGATTGCCCCATGCTGTCTCAAAAGTATTTGTGTGTGGGATAGTAAGCCAATCAAAAAGCCAAGGGGAATGAAAAGGAAGAGAAACTAGGGTATGGCAAAAGTAGTTCTTTTCATATTAAGAGAGGCTATGAGTTATGCTATTAACTTATTAAGAATTTATTTTGAAAAAAAATCCCTCAAATGAGCTGTTAAGGTCCATAAAAGCC